TATATAATATATAGAGAGAGAGAGAGAGAGAGAGAGAGAGAGAGAGAGAGAGAGAGAGAGAGAGAGAGAGAGAGAGAGAGAGAGAGAGATACAAATGAAAGAAAAATTTAAAATCAGCACTCAAATAGCCTGAAACTGATAAAAGCAATAATTAATTAAAAAAAAAATTACTGAAAATTGTCCAATGAAAATCAAACATTGTTTTTCACCTGTGGTTAAACAGAATTATAAGAAAAAACAAAATAAGGAAACTGGCCTGGACAAAAATGATGGTACCCTTAACGTAATATTTTGTTGCACAAGTTTTGAGGCAAATTCTGCACTGGTCAACTGGTATTTAGACCCACTCCACGTGAGCAAACTGCTCTAGTTGTCTCAGGTTTCAAAGGTGCCTTCTCCAGACAGCATGTTTCAGCTCCTTTCACAGATGTTCAATAGAATCGAGATGTGGGCTCACAGGCCGCTGTTTTGTTCTTAGCCATTCTTGTGTGTTTTAGCTGTGTGTTTTGGGTCATTATCCTGTTGGAAGACCTATGACCTATGACTGAGACCAAGCTTTCTGACAGTAGGTGACACATTTCGTTCCAAAATACCTTGATAGTATTGAGATTTTGTTAACCTTGCACAGATACAAGACACCCTGTGCCAGATGCAGCAAAACTGCCCCAGAACAAAACCAAGCCTCCTCCAGGCTTCACAGTAAGGACAATGTTCTTTTCTTGGTCTGCTTCATTTTAACGTCTGTGAACATAGAGCTGATGTGTCTTGCCAAAGAGCTCCAGTTTTGCCTCATCTGTCCAAAGGACATTCTCCCAGAAGCTTTGTGGTTTGTCAATATACTTTGTGACAAATTCCAGTCTCACTTTTTAATGATTTGCTCTCAGCAGTGGTGTCCTTACATGAAGTCCACTTTGGCTCAAACAGTGAGGGGTACATCTGACACTGATGTTCCTTGCCCTTCAAGTTCACATTTAATTTCTTTGGAGGCTGTTCTGGGCTCTTTGGTTCCATTCGTGTGATCCATCTCTTCAATTTATCATAAATTTTCCTCTTGCGTGGAGGTTGGCTACAGGCCTGTGGACCTTAAATTTCTGAATAACGTGCAATTGTAATCACAGGAACATCAAGCTGCTTGGAGATGGTCTTATTGTCTTTATCTTTAACCTGCTTGTCTATCATTTTCTTTCTAGTCACAGTTCACACAGTAGACACAGTTCTCTTTGTTGCTTTCTCTGGGACATGTTCAGTGTTGTCTCCATCATGTCTCCAAACAGCACAATGACACATGTCACCCTTCAAACAGGCAGACTGACTGAGTGATGCAGATTAGACAAAACTAAGTTTAACATGTCCCTATGCAGTTATCTACAGTCTTTTCTAGGGGTACTGTCATTTTTCATTAGTTTCATTAGTTGTTTTTTTCTTTTTTTAATATAATTCTGTTGAACAACAATTCAAAAACAGTGTCTGATTTTCATTGGTTATTTGTCAGGATTTTTTTTTTTTTATTATTGCTTTGCTAGGTTTCAAGTTAATTCAGTGAAAATTGTTGATTTTTCTTTTGCTTACCAGAGGGGTACGAACAATTTTGTCCACGACTGTATATATTATGTATATGTATATGTATATGTATATGTATGTATATGTATATGTATATGTATATGTATATGTATAGAGAGAGAGAGAGAGATGTTTTTCCTGGTGTCTGCAGTAGCCACTCCTCCAGTTTGGGGGTTACAGCCCCAAGTGCTCCGATCACCATGGGCACCACTGATGCCTTCACCTCCCAGGCCTTCTCCAGCTCCTCCTTGAGCCCCCGGTATTTGTTTAGTTTCTCGTGTTCCTTTTTTCTGATATTGCCATCGCTTACCACTATGTCTGGTTGGTTTGCCATCACCATCCTGTCCATCTGTATCTGGACGTATCACAGGATCTTGGCTCGGTCGTTCTCCACAACCTTTGGAGGTGTTTCCCACCTTGACCCTGGGGTCTCCAGCCTGTACTCTGCACAGATGTTTCTGTACACTATGCCCGCCACTTGATTATGTCACTCCATGTATGCTTTCCCTGCCAGCATCTTACACCCTGCAGTTATGTGCTGGACTGTCTCAGGAGCCTCTTTGCACAGCCTACACTGTGGGTCTTGTTTGGTGTGGTAGATCTGGGCCACTATTGCTCGAGTGCCCAGGGCCTGCTCCTGAGCAGCCAGGATGAGTGCCTCTGTGCTGTCCTTCAGACCAGCCCTCTCCAGCCATTAGTGGGATTTCTTGATATCAGCCACTTCTGTTATGTTTCGGTGGTACGCCCCATGAAGGGGCTTGTCCTGCCATGATGGTCCCTCCAGCACCTCTTCTTCTGGACCCCACTGTCTGAGACATTCTCTGAGTATGTCATCTGTCGGGACCTTGTCATTGATGTACTTATGGAGCTTGGATGTTTCATTCTGGACAGTGGTTCCCACACTGACTAGTCCTCTGCTTCTTTCCTTTCGGCTCACGTAGAGTCTCATGGTGCTGGATTTGGGATGGAACCCTCCATGCATGGTCAGGAGCCTTTGTGTTTTAACATTTTTTAAAACTAATACAATGATTACTTGCATTTCAGATGATTTTGTTTTATGCAGAGGAAACTGAATTAATGAAACCTAAATATACACTGCAAATATACAACAGATTATTTATTTGTAGGGATATTATCGAGAGGGTTGCAGTGGTCATGAACTTCTATGGTTTAGTCCACATAACAGAGGCCTTTGCTGTGAGTATTCTCTCTATTTCATATTTTTTAAAATGTATTTATTGTTTACATTTTTGCATATTTTTGTTTTTCTGCTGTAGGGTTGTATAGCTGGAATTGTACGAGGATCAGGGAAGCAAAAAGTCGGTGCTGCTGTTATTTTTGTATCATATTACTTAGTTGGATTCCCAGTGGGTTTGTGTATGATGTTCCCCCTTAAATTAGGAATTGTAGGTGAGAATGACAAAATACTTATAGCATTTTTAGCTATACAACTATCTACTGTAAATTATTCACCCCATGTGTGCAGGTCTTTGGACTGGGTTTTTAATTAGTGCCTTGGGACAATCAGTAATTTTAGTCATTTATTTTTATAAACTTAACTGGAAGAATGCCATGGAGGAGGTGAGAACCTTAATTGAATCTATTGTATATTACTGATATTGTGTTACTACATATCTTATACTGACTCTCTTGCAACAGGCACAGAAAAGAGCAGGAGTCATCACAAAGGAGGATGTGATTGTGAATGAAAACAAAAGTAATCAAGAATTCAAAATTAATCTAATGTATCTCTTTATTTTTTATTTTATTTTTTACCATTTACAGCTATTTTCCCCATAGGGAAAATAAGTGCCTCCTGTTTTCTGAAAATGTAGTGTAGTTTTCGATACTGACTCACTGCCAAGTCATATTATTTAATGTTTTAGTAATGAGTACGGCAGCTTGATAAAAGCTAATCAGCTAGTTATGTGGTACTAACAAGTTTAAGAGGTGCAATTTATTTTGCAATACATTTCTGAAACATTTAGCCTAATTTGAGGCTTTTAATACATCATAAATGTTAGGTAGCACATAAATGGTTAGTGTACTCTGTGCCGTTAAACTCTTAATAGTTAAAGCACCATTACTTACAGTGTACCATATGAAAACAATGCAATAGTCATGGCTGTCATTATGGTTTAACAGTGTTATTTTTATCTGACTATACTCCTAGAGAACAGCAGTGCTCAGGTGGTGTGTGAGAATGAGGCTGGTCAGACATCAGTTGTGTCTTCTCTGTCGGTCAAACAGCTGGTGGTGCGACGCAGCTTCACTGTGCTGCTCATGATCATCATCCTCGCGGCAGGAGTCTTCATCAGTGAGCTTCTTGTCAGAGCTCTCCATTTAAAAAACTGACCACCATCACAACACATGTCAACTCTGTATGCCTCTGTCCTAAAAAAAACACTTTAGGAGCTTTTACCAGAGATAATTAGTAAATACAGCTTACTACAAGAATAAGGTATTATGTCAAACTGTATTGCTTTAAATAAAAAAAAAAGTTAAAAAAGTAAATCCATCTCACGCAGCATTTTACTTCAGTGGATGCCACAGCTACAAATAGAATGATTAAATGCTAAAAATAGTCCTCGTTGATGTGTGCTTTCATCATCAAAGACTGAAAAAAGCTTTTTCCTCTTTTTTTATTTGTTCTGCTTTGATCTGTGTTGCCAAATTTGGTGATAATGAAAGGTCTACGCTCAAATGCTGGCTGCATGAGAACATGTCCAACTGAGCAAATCAACCACCTGCTCCTCTTTCTCTCAAACACACACATACACATACTCACTCTCTCTCTCTCTCTCTCTCTCTCTCTCTTTCTCTCTCTCTCTCTCTCTCTCTCTCTCTCTCTCTCTCTCTCTCTCTCTCTCTCCTTTCTTCTAGACTTCTTATCAGTTTATTTTTTATTATCCTGACTCCCTTTCTTCTGATTGGTTTTTGATGTGGTGGGCTTTACCTAAAACTATATATTTCTTTCTTTGGGAGATTCATATACACCAATCTTACCCACAAGACTCCAAAATGTAGCAGTATGACATATTACAGACAGATTGGTATTTTATAAAATGTTGCATATTAATTTACAATAATTTAAATCAAGCCTGATTCACTTGTGTGATTACATCATCAAGCGAGTCCATCAGTAGAGATAGTGAGTCTGTAATCTTACCTCCACAGACTGCAATCAGATACAAGCTGTGAGATTACAAGGGCTAGTCACCAATGTCACAATTATTATTGTATCTGATAATCTCACAAATCTGTTGGTTTAGCCTTATTTATCAGGATCAAAAGACAGCTGTCACATTTGTGTCCATTTAAATTTGCTTTTGCTTCAAAACTGTTGTACTGGGAACTTTCCAACTGTGTGTGAAAGTAGCTACACTAAAGGCATCTTTATCAACTATGCCTTGTTGACTATGCTTGTTATGGTTCATCATTTTTAATAAATAAATTATTTATTTTATTTGTTAAACACAGAGCCAATTTTCAAGTCTAAATGATCTTTAACAGTGCATAATTTTACATTGGATTGTACTGTTTTTTCTATTAGTTTGAACTCCTCTCCCTGGCCTCTGTGATCACTGGCATGCTTTCTGCCTGGCTCATTCACACTCATCCCATGGTCCTGGCTCTGCTGTCTTTATTAAAATGTCCATCTGTGGTTAAATGACTATGTATTACTTCTCTGTTGTAGGAGTAGGCATGGATTTGAATTCAATTATTCATTCAAACTATGTAGGTGTTGTGAATGGGAGAGTTTGTGATATATAGGAGTCTATGCACATAACTTGGCACAGCAGACCACAAAAAATGATTTTATGTCAGAAAACAAATACATATTTCAGTTTTCTACAGGCAACCTACCCTATCTTCGGTCACTTAAAATAAGTTGTATAAAAACCAAGATTGAAATACTGCATGCCAGTCTATGAATGAGAATTAAAAGAGTATCACAGATTTAAATCTGGACTATATCAGGCCTAAGGCTGCGTTCACACTTTCACACACACTACATCAGAACTATCTAAATTTAGGACAAAACAACTCAAACTAAGGCCAATTCTGGACAAGTGTGAACAGACCTTTAATTAGGGCTGGGCCAGGTCTAAAATAAGAGGTCGGGTAGTTCTAAATCATGATTTCCTTAAAGGAGGACAAAAACATTAATAGATGTGACTCAGTTAAACAAATATACAAACTGTAGAGGGTCCAGTGCACCACCAGAGGCCGCCCACATACCACCAATGGCACATGAACTACAGTTTGAGAAACGCTGTTTTAGCCTTTTCAGTTACATTAGCACAATTCTGACATTCTAACCAGGGGAAATACATGATCTGTTTATGTTTTGTTTTTATATATCTCCGTATTTAAATCAAATAATAGAAAAGTAAAAAATAATGGGGTCAGCAATGATATGTCACATTGTAGCATGAATCAGGTTCGAAAGCTTGCTGTGTGGGGACATCTGCTGCCTGTAGCCCATATGTCCCTGCGGCGAGGGATTTGTAAATGTTTCTTATATTCCCAGCTGAGCGCCTCATGTGCTGTGTTACAACATCATCTTTGTAGAAAATGCTTTGATTCTCTCAGTCTCGTTCCTCTCCTCAGGAACCCATTTTGATGTGGTTTTGTGTTGGACTTGTTCAGGCATGTACACTGCAGCTGCCACAATGGAAGTCGTAGGGAAATGAAAGATCGCAATAGCAAAAGTTACGAGTGAGTTATGACATCCACAGGTGCAGGAGTGGTCCCATTGGCCCAGTTTAGTGTAAAGTTAGCTTGTGACGGCATAACAAAGTCTGGTGGTGGGAATGTAATGTAGAAAGCAATGCCTATCAACAACATGAGGATTAAAATCAGCAGTGTGAATCCTCTTCGTAGTATGAGCTGAGAGACTGACAGAGCAGATTCAGTTTTAGAGTCAGGAGGGATTTTGTTGTCTGATGTTGTCTGATTGTTGATGTCATTTAGAGGTTTTTCCTCTTGATCCTGAGTCTTGATAGTACAGTAGTCACTGCCTTTAGTTGCATCCTCATTCTCTACCTGTGTTTAAAAAACAACCATTAGCAAAAATTTACCCCCAGATACACATGTTCTATAATGGTTATGCTATCATATTTCCTTCCTAACTCTGGCATATTCACATTATGTTCCTTAACATTAATATGCATTGGTCCTTCTAAATACATGAATGAAATATTGTTCATAACCAATATCATCACCATAGCAAATTGTTTTCCAGCAATGGGATTCTGAAAGCTGATGCTACTGTAAAACCAAAGAACCTGGTCACAGACACATTCCAGTGTGTGCAGACACTGAGGACACTGAGGACTGTCTTGCAGTATTCCAGTGCCCAACAACAGTATTCATCTATTGGAGCTGAAATTTGCCGGGCCAACCTATGGGTCATGTTATGCAGGGACCAAAATAAATGAATAATGAATTATATTCAAAGGCAGAAATATATTTCTAGATGATGTTGATGTTCATACATCAGAATAGAAGAGCCGGTCTATTTTTTTAAAAGGAATTGCTAATTTTCCCACCCAGTGCTTGCACTTGAAACTTTAAATTGCTCTATCCAGCTGGCTCTTGCATTCAGAGCCCACCTGGATATCTACATGAGCTGCTATAAATATAAACCTCAGTTTACAAGGATATAGGCATCAGGAGGACACTGTTTCTACGTCATCACCAAAGCACAAATTTAAATAGTGATGATGCATATGGACTCCATAATTGGATTCCACAAATCTGTCCATCACAAATCGAAGCTTACTACAATAACTAAGTTGCTACTACTATTACTGCTTCTACTACTTTAAAGGTGCATTGTATAACTTTTCCGGTGGAGACTTGGTCAAATGCTTTTCTCCATGAAAATGTAATTGTGTGGAATGTTTCACAGTATGGTATCTTTCTATCTGCATGGATACCAGACCAGACCAAGTTACAGGTCAGATCTGCGGAGAAACAACCCCGCTCACAGTCAGAATGCCTGTTTTTCTAGTATTTTTGAGCTAAGGTAGAACTATTTAATGTCATATTGTGGAACATCCCAGACAGAACAATGTCATATCCACAGAAACAAAAAAGCTGATGAACCCTCAACCAAAAACTTACATAGTACACATTAATACCTGTAATGCTTATAATTTCAGATTTTACTCAGACACCTACTAACTATTAAAACATGTCATGTAAGCAGGGCCTTCACAATAGATAGGGTAGACAAACTGTCTTATCAAACCCTAAAAGACAGACACACAACTGTAGATTTACTGACCTCTTGGGGCCAATTTAGGAATTGTAATTGTTCGTGCTGTCGGCTTTACCACTTATCCACATACTAAACCTATTATGCTCTTACCATTGGTTCATTGCTCAAATCAGGAACGGTTGCCTCTGTCAGCACTGTGCTCGTCGGCCGGTTACATGTCACCAATACTTTCTTACCAGCTCGACGAAGGGCCTTTGGAGTTACATAGAGATTAGTATTAAACTTCAAAAACAATATTCAGATACACGTGTCTAAAGTGAAAATAATGACTCCATGTACTTCAGTGGGATAAAAAGGGATAAAAATATGATTTGTATAACTTTTGGTTTAGAAAGTACACACAGTTCATACCACTACTGGTTACTGCTTATTGCGCAGCCACTGAAGTCTCAGCTGCTACAATGCTAATACCAATAGTAATATGCTACTATTACTACTTCTATGCGTATTCAATTAGTGTTCACGTTGAATAATCCCTATTACGAATGTTTTAGAGAGATTAAAGGGCCCATGTTATTTTACTTTCTAACCTACAGTATGTTATAATGCTGTTTTCTCATCACAAACATACCTAAAATTGTGTTTTGTTTCATTCACAAATTTTGAACACACAAATCTTGCATTTTTAGGAAAAATTCTTCTCTCAAATGGAAAACACAGTTCAACCTTGTGATGTCATGTGGTAATACAGGAAGTGCACCACAGTGTTTTTAAACTCCATACACCTTCACTAGCCCTGGAACTGCCAATCTCTTCAGAATTAAAGGTAAAAGGTAGCTGTTAATTTGAAAACTACCACCACCAAAAGGTGGAACAAAGCATTTTGAGTTTTGGATATGTAGACAGACATAAAGGGTTACTTAAACATGTGTGAATGAAACAAAATACAACTTTGGGTATGTTTTGATGAGGTAACAGCATTATAACATGGCTAAAAGCTCACAGGAGTACATTTTTGTGTATTTTTTACCTTTTGTGTCACCTTCTTCCAGTTAAGTTTAAAGATCAGAAAAAGGAAGAATCCCACTTCAAGCAAGACGCAGACCAAAAGACCCAGCCATAGACCTACAAGAGACATCCAATGGGAACAAATCAATTGAGATGCATCTTTAGCCTGAAGTGAGGAGTGTAGCCAAGGAAGACATAATATTGGAAAAGATTAAAAGCAAATTACCATAAAACTACAGCAAACATTGATTGGACACAGAAAAATTATAATTCATCACAATATGATTTATCACTGCTATCGAATGTCGCTGCATATGATTAGCCCAAACTACACAATGATTAGCTCAAACTAAAAACTGCAGTTGAGTCCAACCTTTCCCCTGATCACTTAAGTCAAAACGGATAAACTTCACAAGGTCAGATCTAGAAATAAGTTCCCCATTTATAACAAACATCTGTGGCTCACTCAATTCTCAACAGTGGACAGCAAAGTGCTTTTCTCTGGTGGGGGTAAATGGCTGACTGCGGGAAGCTAAATTAGGCCATGTTAGCTTTCAGGACACAATGGGTTCAGACTTCAGATCTAAATGACTAGATATGGATTTAGAAAGCTTCTCACTTCTCACTCCTAAATTCAACATATTTTCTAATGTAAAAAAAAATCACCAAGTAGATTTCAAAAACAAATTTTGAGATGGTGGAATATGACAGAATAAGCACACCTGCAGCAGTGGAAAGTACTTTCGTAATATGGCCTTTCAGGGATTTATTGATAGAAAGTGAGGAAATAGCAGTTTAGTGTCCAAATTGTAAGTTATTACTCAGCATGTTACAACAAATTTTCAAAAAAGTAATTTATAAAAATGCAACTTTTAAGTTAATGGTGGAGAGTTTGAATACTGCTAGTCTCTAACAAGATGATTTGGTTAGAATGTTCCACAGTATGGCGTTAGTAGTTAAACAGCAGATCAATGGAGAGGAAAACCTTTTTTTTTTTATCTTTAGAAAATTCATTTTGTCTTCTTGTTATATACAGTAGCAATGTTTTTTTTTTCTAATAAGACCACTTTTGTAAAAAAAAAAAAAAATTATATAATAATATATATATATATTTTTTTTATTAAATGCCCCCCCGCTTAAAAATGTACATAGTGCATTATTACTATTCTTTACCATTGTGATAGTAAGTATGTGGCGAGTGTTTGGCAATCGCTTCCTGACCTCGATCATTTGGCGAATGTCTCTAACCTCTCTCTCACAATTTTCACACTTCATTTGTCCAGTAAAGCCAAAAAGGTCAGATTTTTAATGATTGAAAAACATAAAGTTATTACCTAATATCCTTAGTTCAGCTATAAACATCAATGCACCTCCAACAGGCAAACCTATGATGTAGTAGCCCACCAAGTTAGACACAGCTGCAATTTTCTGCATCCCAGCTCCAACAAGGATCCCTGAGCAGACACACTGAAAATACAGAAGAAAATGTAATGACAAGTAAACCAACTATCAACTGAAGTGCTTATAGCACCGTTAAGTGAAAGTCAAGGACAAAAGCATGTATTTGTGTAGCAACAGACCAGAAGTGCATCGAAGAACTGTACAAAAATGTAGACTGTGAAGCTATTTGAGACAATGTCCACAATGGTCCTGTTGGCAGTCAAAATGATAGCGTAAAGAGAAAGTTTAGAGACGTCTACAATTGTGTGTTGGTGGAAAACTCACTCATCTGAAGTAAATATGAAGCCAATTGTAGACTTGCATCCTGCTAGACCAATGCCTTGCAGCACAGCAAGAGCCCCTACAGTGTGACAGTTAAAGATAAAAAAAACTTTTGTATAAAAAGCAAGTTCATTGATCAGGCATAACACTGAATCAACCAATCTCAATTACAAAGCTCCATGCATAATTGCAAACGGCAAATGATTTGAAATCAGTATCATTAAATACAATTAATTGTGCAGCCATCAGGTGATCATAACAATATACTTGATTAGTATTTGGTATTTAATTCATAATATTAAGTACATTTTTTAGACATGCAAATACCTGACAGGACCAGGGCCACTTTGCAGGTCACTAAGGCCTGGTTTGTATCTCCAGCTCCAAGAGCATTACCAACTCGAACACAGGCTGCTGCATGAATACCAAGAGGGAACTGTAGCATCCCAAATTTAAATGTCAGTTTCTTTTTTTTTTTTTGGCTAATTATCTTCCTGTTTATAATCCTTACCATGTATGTTATGGCCCCAATCTCCAGCATGATATGTTGTGCAGCAAGATCTAATTCACCAAGTAGACCTGAAAATAAGGAGGAACAATGTATTGCTCACATGAGACAAAATGTTTATCTGTATTATATATTTCTGTATTAAATTTTTTATAGTAGCCTATAATTTTACATAGAATATCAGCTGTTAGTGTTGCCTAAATGATCATTTTAAAAGCTCTTTTTACATAATATTGTTATTTTAATTTCATTATACCATGTGGTCTTAAAACAGATAAAACAGCTACTTTTTTCCAGTTTTTTCAGTAACAATACTTGTTCAAATGAGTATCTAGTTTCAATTAATATCTGAGTTTTAATACTTTTGACAAGCCTAGCATCTTAGTTGTGATGTTTTCCTTTGTTTTAATACTGTGCAAAACTTTGGGTTTGCAATCAAGAAAACACAGAATCAGTATACTTACCAGCCATGAAACCACCAATCTCCCAAATCCACCATTCAAAGCAGATCATGAATACACTGGGAATGGCTAGTTTCATGTAAGAGCCCCAGTCCTGCAGACAGTCAGTGGACCAGCCTGAAACAATACACCACTGTGAGCTGCACTTTAGACCACAAGAGGGTCTTTGGAAATGTAAGCCCGGCTTCACCTCCCCAAGTCTGCTCATGCAACTTCCTCCATCTGATGTAGCCAAATAACAGCAGGCAAATGGTGATCCAAGAAAGAGCACTGGCGATTGCTGATCCTCTGAAAAAGACAAAAAAGAAAACAGGCACAATGATTATTGAATATTTTGACAGGAGAACAAATAGTGAGCCTAATTGGTGCATTTTAGGCCAACTGTAGTTTTATTAGATTGAATGATACAGAGAAAATCTTTTAGTTAACAGGGAAAGACATTGAATTTAGACAGTGTGCTCTGATAATACCAGTGCTAAAGAGGCACAGCGGTTCATCTGAGTACAACACACGTTTATGTTATAGTTCACAAAACAGCTGTTGGCAGAGATGTCTGTTCTTGATGTGACACTGTAAGAAAAAAATGTGCAAATATATTTCCTTGCACTTGCGTTTGGTTCTTTCTATTTTCTTTCTATTTGACAATTATGATTGTTTTTCTTTTTCAACTGGTTTAGAGGTTGCTCAGCCTCAGGACACTCCAAAATGGAATTTAATTAAATGCATGTGTGAATTAACCTTCCTGAAATTGGATTTTTTCCAAGGAACACCTGGCAATACCTCAAGGCACACTAGTGTTTTTGCGGCACAGTGGTTTAAAATCAGTTGTCTAGCAGATGGTAAAGGAGGGTCAAAGTAGGCCTCAACATCAAAGAATGAGACATTTGCCCAGCTGTGCAAGGGTCAAAGACTACTCTTATGTTTATTATTGTTTTAGAAAAAAATGCTGAGTAATCTGTTATTAGTTTGAATATTCTGAAGTAATTTACTAGTAATTTTACAAAACCTGACACAAACACACACAGTTTCAGCATACTTACATGACACCCAAATCAAGGCTGATGATTAGAACATAGTTAAAGCCCAAGTTAAAAATGTTTGCTACAGCGGCAGTGTACATCTGAGGCAGAATGATCCCCTGATGGAAAAAGAGAGAAACAAGAAAGACAATAATGATACATATTAAAAATTTTTATATTTGGTCTACATTGTACATATATTCTAATCTGTTTTGACCATACTTGATTCTGTAGGTAGGCCACTTGCAGCTGATGCAGGAACATGGCCTGTAGTGGAAAATAGCATGTTGTAACAACAGATCAGATCACCATCTCTCTTTTACAGACAATATTTGAAAAGACCATGACCACTTTTTGAGTTGTTGTTAATTGTTTTCATCATTTAAAAATTTTGATTTAGTGATGACATGCTTTTTAAAACTTTTAACTTTTCTACATTTACTCTTTAAAGCAATAGTGCTACCTACTGTTAAGAAATAATATTTATTCTCACAATAACCCAAAAAGAATGAAATATGATATTATGAGTGAATTATATGTTTTGGTTGTTACTTCAGTTATCACTTACAGGAACAGCAGGTAAAAAGGTCATCACATAGAGATGCGCTATTCTGTTAAAAGAAAAGAAATGCACATCAGTGCATGAAGTAACTGACTGGTCTCCTGCAATGTGGGACCAATCCACATATGCTGTAGTTTTGGATAACCTAGTTAATTTTAGCAGATCAGTATATGAACAAAATGTTAACTTGGTGCCCAATATAATAAATACACAATACTCTCACTGTTGTTTACCTGGCCACCTCCTCCCCTTGGTGCATAGCAATTAGTAAGCTGTAAGAGTTTATAAGAATGCTCCAACATGGCAGACAGAACAGCAGTAAAATCACTGAACTCTTCTGAAGGATGGTCCCCACTTGCTTCATGTTTTTACTTCCAAATGTCTGTACAACACAATCTGGAGTAAGATCATTATTAGTCCTCATGAGTATCTGTTTGTACAACTCACCTGAGATATAAGTGTATCACAGGCCAAACCCAGACCTATGCCTGTCGCAGTTGTGGTGACATTAATTGTCTGAAATACATAAACAAGCATATCAATGCTAAAAATGTAACGGGAATAACTGGACTGTCCCCTGACTGAAATATAAAAAATAGTGGTCCTGACATCTTCAATGTAATGATAGGGATGTCAAAATTTAAATTATTTAAGTCAGAGTTCTTACAATGTGACTTATACAAAAATAACATTATTATCTAATGATCTTGGTATCCCTAAAAGGTATAAAAGTACTTTGGATCCCAGATTTGGGTGGATCAGTGGAACCCAACAGCATCATGGCTGCATAATCATGTTATAGTTTATTCTTTGCATTTAAAAATAAACTATAAAAAAGTACATACTGCTGAGGCCAGTGCATATCCAGCCAGCTCTGGAATACCAATGTGACCGCAGAAAATAGTGGTAACAAAAGGCAGAAGGAAGTTGAGAATTCGTGACAGCACCTTTAGGGCACAGAGAAAACTATATTAGAGATCAACACAGGATCCTTGAATGAGTTGTAATTTGTTCTAACTTATATACATAATCAATGTACAAACACTTATTTTACTGTTAAATATTGTCAATTTCCTCAAATATTAAATTACATCCTTTGCTTTCAGTCCTTCACCTTCCATAAGAATAATACAGTGACTGTATGTGGAGCCTATAATACTCTTGGTGCATAAAAATACTAACTTCGCCATGTAGTATGTTTTTGTATACTGTCACTGTAACAAACATACTTCATTTTCAACTTTTCCAACTATGAAGGCACACTATTTGGAAATCAAATGCACACAGTTTTAGAAATATAGAAATATAGAAATGGGATTTGCAATGCTAGATGTCACCTATAGTAAAAAAAAAAAAAAAGGCATTTCAGCTTTCCCCTACTCACCAGTGGACCTGTGAGCCTTAAGACATGGTACAGCTCCTCTCTGTAGGCCAGTGGAAGCCAGCGCCGAACCTTTGCACATCGAAACAGTTTATTGCTCTCTGCGTTTAGACCCTCTTCCTCTTCTCTTTCAGCTTGTGACGGCTGTGCAGCAGGGATCCCCACAACAGGCCTAGCACCCTGTTTGGGCCCTGCAAGATCCTGAGAGCCCCGCTTCTCCATTCAAAATCGCAAGAGGACAAAGAACAAGAGAGAAAAGCAAGTCAAAGGATCAAGTAAGGAGGGAGGGAGGAGTGGGTTGAGAGTGGGAATGAATGGTGAGCAGGAAAAACAAACTTGCTGTATGGACAAGAGGTCAATCTGATAATATATATTCAAATGAGCCAAAACACTTGTGGTCCAAAACATATGCATACAATGGAGAGTGCAGTGTACTTAAGGTGTGTGCTAGTTTGGTTTTACAAGGCTAATCTGACGAGGAATGCATCTTTGCAAATCGTACACTAATACCAGTGCTGACCAATATAAAGAAAATACAAAAAGAGAACATTACAGATAGGACAAGGTTTTTAACACCAATTATATGCAATTATATGTGTGTGTGTGTGTGTGTGTATATATATATATATATATATATATATATATATATATATATATATATATATATAAATCTCAATTATCATCTGTATCTAAATATAATGTGTCTTCAAATAAACAAATTAATTACCTTCACTGAATTACTTTGTACAATGCATACTACTTTAATATGTATCTCCCCTGAAACATGTATTTGAATGTATGGGCTCTTGGACATTGATGTGATCTTATCTGTTTTCTTGTGCACTTCGCTCTCCAACATTCAACCTCTTTATAAAGACACCAAACAAACATTTCTTTTTACTGGCACAGCTCAATAGCTCTTCAGCATTTATTCACTAACCTTTAAAGCCATCTGTGTTAATCAATGACAGCCACTATTTCCCACGAAGTCATCCAAGACATTGTATTACACTATTGGGGTTATAAGTACATCTTGACTTTGTTGTTTAAAATTAATAAAGCCATGTAGTTGTCTGTCTACTTAGCTTAACTTAATATGTCACTAGGTTCTCAGTTGTGCAAGTGAATAATTTCTTCTTGCACAAGTGTGTCGCAACAAGTCAACCTTTGAGCTAATCTATGAAATGCTTTCAGCGCAATCAGCTACAATTTAACCGCTGTACTCAATTATAGATTCATTATATTTATGTCTGTCAAATTGCTTATTTACTGTTACTTAGTGTTTTAGATTGGCATATCTCAAGATGTAATTAATTAAATTATTACATTCTTTACATAATCAATTAGTTATTTATTTTAAATAATTGTATATTGCAATTGTTCTGTTTTTGTGATATCTGAACAACCTCCCAGCATAGTGAAATAACTTAATATTTTGTCATTATTTATAATTTATTTTGTTTGTGATATATCTTTTTGATATCATTAAAATCAATTAGTGTATTCTAATTTAAGTGACATTTTGAAAGGCAGTGAATACTAAAAGTATATGCAGTATGTATGTAGTAATAATGTGTAGACACTTTTAGTAGTAAGAATATGTAGACACTTTTTATTTTGTTTGTGTCTCTTTCTTAATTATTCAAATTAAGCGAAATGAATCATTTTACAAACTGGATTAAAATAAAGGAAAAATGGAAACCAAAGTGTTGGAGTTATGCACATGTGCCACAAGCACAGTGTCACTGGCAGTGATTGAAACACCTTGATCTCAAAGACTAGTGTGCCCAGAGCATCAGATTTTATGGCAACATAAAGTGACAAGCCAATAAAAAACAAAACTGGGAACACACCTGTACAAAGATGAGAAAGACATTGACGAAAGACTGTAAAAATCTATTTACTCAAATGCCATAAAAACAGGACGGGAGTCTTGTCTTTCTTATTCTTACATCTGAAGAAGGACAGCTGAACCACTAAAAAGTATTGTAGTCTTTTTAATTTTCAGTCAATTTTATCTTCAAATCTTTACCTTCTAACTTTATTTTCTTCAGCTTTATACAGCGACAACCCACTTCTGTAAAATGGCATTTATGTTGATTCCTGCGATTTTGAATTGTCTTTTCTATTTTGCAACACAGACATCAGGTATGCTCAAACATTGTTTTTTATTAGTTGTCCATTCACTATATGGTCATTTGCAATAATTATAAAATTCTCAATTTCTTTTCTAAACAGGGGTTACGATTCAGTCTATTCCAAGTGCCAATTCAGAGGGATATATTCTCACAGAGCTTGAGCAAACTGTCTCCCTGACCTGCAATGCAGGACAAGATATAACCTCAGGCGATGATAATGAGTTGGTTTGGCTCAGGAACAATGAATTGGTTTCTCTGAAAGATAAGAATAAAAATGGCACCAGCAGAGTATGCATTTCTCCGGTGATTCTGGAAGACAGGGAGACCATTTTCACCTGTCACCTACGCAGTAACGCCTCGGATAAGGTCTCTGTTGTACTCAATGTCACATGTGAGTATTAGAAATAAAACAGCAACATGTTTTCTATCTTCATACTTTACTGCAAAATATTTTCTAATCTACATGTAACCTCTTTATTTAGTGCAAGTCTATTACCTTCTACCATTATATTCTTTCCACTTTATTTCCAAAAGAATCTTACGTGAGCTCTGATTTATTTAATCCTTATTATCATCCTAATGCCAGATATCGTTGATATTCTGTCAACAGAAAAATCAATTTTCTCTGATCAACATAAAGATGCAAAAATAAATATTTACATAAAGATATACAAGGCAAATGCAAAATCTGTCATTAGCAGTAATATTGTTCAAGACTGACTGTTTGACCGATATCCAACTAACTCAATCGAATCAACCTATTACAATTTCACTTGTTAAATAGTGATTAGGCAAGAAGATTTTGATGTCGGCTCAATATAATTAATCAATTTATAGCAAAAGAAGGTAAATTATTTCTTCAACTGTACAAAGTTTTTATTTTTGGCAGAATTTAACCTTTGATTATGAGACCAAAACAACTGATGGATTACAGATTTCAGATCAGCCTGTTTAATGAACTTCTTGTTTTCTAGACCCTCCAGATTTTACAGACCTAGAGGAGATCACTGTAGAAGAGGAAGCGACTCTGATTTTAAAATGCAACATAGAGGCCAATCCTCCTGTGTCGTCAGTGGTTTGGATGCTCAACAAGACCGCTGTGGATTTGAAAGAAAGTCAGCTTACTCTGACCAACAATGGACTGTCCAGCACACTGTCCACTGAGAAAGTAAAACGGAGCCTGCATGAAGCCACATACCAGTGTATTGTAGATTCACCTTTGTATGGGCCCAAGACCAAAGAGTTCACAGTTAATGTCACAGGTTAGTTTGTACTTTGTATTTGTTTGCATTGTTTGTATTCAACGGTGCACTGAGTAACATTTCTGGAGAAGGGATGTCACCTGCTTTTCTCTCTCTCTTCTATCTCTCTTGCATTTAAACATGTTGATACTTTAAAAAACATGTATTCTTAGTCTCCACAGATCTGACCTGTAACTTGATCAGGTATCGGCACCTGCTCTTGCTATTAGGATAGATCATTTTAATGTAATTTTATGGACAGACAAAGAAACAACATCTAGACTAGACTAGCAGGTGGAGGACATGGTGATGTTAAGTTTTCTTTCATTTCTATTTAAATAATTGTGCAAATTTAGAGTTCAGAAGTCTTGGTCAAATTGCATTATGTCATAGTCATCAGATGGTTAGCCAGGAGAAAGAACCTTTACCAGAGCAAAATAAAAGGGGGAAAAAAGCTTTCATACCAGAGCAGCTAACCCACTTCGAAGCTAGTAGTATTTTTTATTTAATTTAAAAGGATCCTGTATGCCCTCTGCTAGCTAAAGTGATGTTTTGTACTCTCAGAAAACGTCAACAAATCTGAACATTCTCTGACATTCTTATTCCTATTTTAGATAAGACCTTGAAGTTCCCTCTGTATCCCATGATCGCAGGGATTGTAGTGGTATGTCTCACTTCATTACTTGCTGTTGCAGCACGATGGAGGAAAATTGTAAAGGTAGGACCTATAAACACACACACATTAAGTTCTTCCTCCATACAACTGACTAATATTTCTTTCTGTTTTTTTCAGTGCTGCAAGTAACTTTTTTACAAGTTTGAAAGGATGCACCATATGGATTCTTTCATACATAGTTATAGGACAAAATGTAATAATACACCACATATATTTAGCTGTCAGAATGACATTTGCTATTATTTATAGGGACAAATAATTATTTTTCAATGCAAGCAAAAACTAAATGTTTTTTGTTGTTGTTGTTGTTGTTTTGTATTCTGGTACTGTTATAAAAGTATTAATTTAAACAATGTCAGCAGTCACCTCCAGTCTCTCGCTCTAAAACCTTCAAATCAGGCAAGAAATCTAGGGGTAATAATGGACTCAGACTTGAACTTTAACAGTCACATAAAATCAATAACATCTGCAGCCTTTTACCATCTAAAAAACATAGCAAAAATCAAAGGTTTACTGTCTAAATCAGACTTGGAGAAACTTATCCATGCGTTTGTCTCCAGTAGGTTAGTCTACTGTAATGGTCTGCTCACTGGTCTCTCCAAACGAGCTGTGAGACGCTGCAGAACATCCAGAACGCTGCAGCTCGGGTCCTTACTCGAACTAGGAAGTACGAGCACATAAGTCCTGTGCTCAGGTCTCTGCACTGGCTTCCTGTGCCTCAGAGAATAGACTTTAAAGCAGCTCTGCTTGTGTACAAGTCTCTCCATGGCCGAGCACCAAAGTACATCTGTGACATGTTAGAGTCATATGAAACATCTCACACTCTGAGGACCTCAGGGACCGGCCTCCTGCTGGTGCCCAGAGTCAGAACTAAACAAGGGGAGTCAGCGTTTCAGGTTCATGCAGCTAAAACCTGGAACAGTCTTCCTGAACATGTGAGACAGACTCTTCTGTGATGCTGTTTAAATCCAGACTCAAAACATTTCTGTTTAACTGTGCATATAACTGAAAGGTTTTCATTCCGCACTCTTCTCTCCAATTTATGTCTCTCTTTTTTAATTTTAATCTTCATGATTATTTATGTTTTGATTTGTTTTTATTATGATTTTAATGTATTTCTTATTCTGTAAAGCACTTTGAATTACTTTGTGTACGAATTGTGCTATACAAATAAACTTGCCTTGCCTAATTACAAACCAATGGCATTAAATTCCCCACAAATGGACTTTAACATTTGACAATAAAAAGCTTGTTAAAATTGTGTTATACATTTACTTTAATTTAATGTAGAAGTGGCCCTGTCATTGCCATCATAAAGGTCAATGTTCTACGCCCCAAGAGTTAAGACCACTTGGAGGCAGGCAATAGGGTGGCACGAGACCCAGTTTCCACAAAATGAGATGAGAAACGAGAGTCCACCAGAACGAGACAAGATGAGATTTTAACATGATTCATAATAAATAAATGTTTTGCTTCAGTTCACGGTTTAGTCCTCAACATTTATGATTTACTTTATTTACATTTTCTGATGTAATTGTATCCCCGTTTTTTGGTACAACAGCCCCCCTGTCCCCTCCCCATCTATTTTTTTCATACCTGAGCTGTGGTGGGGTCATTACTAGACTTGGGCCTGGTACATATGCGCGTTCTTGTCACGGATACATTAAATAAAGAGTATCTGTTGCGTGTTTTGTCACGGCTCAGATTGCGTTGCTTTATTTTTACATTTTAATCATGGAACGTCTTCAATTTCTCTTATGCGCATGCTCAGTGCGTGCGGTTGCGCGGTGACGTCATGTCATTGCTGTGCGTGAGCCGGCGTGCAGGGTGTGGTGTTGTCCTCTGTGTGCAGTCCACCGCCAAATTCAAACCGAAAGGAAAGCAATAGAAGGAGGCTGCGGTTTCGTCAGGATTTGATTTAAGGTAATTCAATTTGATTTTAATCACATTAATTCTTTTGACGGCGCACGTTGGTATTCAAACTTATATCTCCATGGATGCTAACACTTTTCCAATGCTGCTAACTCAACTTTGTAAATTCATGTAGATCTAAGCACTCCATGTTATCTGTTGCTTGTCGGTAATTACTTGTTACTACTACTGACTATGTTAGAGTGTTTTGATGATAATTGAATTATAGTAATTACCTGAATCCAAGCTATTTGTAACATACATAACGTTATATGCATATAATTACGTAGATCACGGGCTCTTTCAGTTGTTACTGAGAGGGTAGTGGAAGTTAAAGAAGGGACAATAGATCACAGAAACTATTGTCAGGCTCCAGCTGTGCCCATTGTCTCTTCTTCATTCACATGTATATAAATTTAGTTTCTATAGATGAGTCCTCTTAAGCTTGCACAGACAGTGTTTTTTTATGTACAGATATAGATGATCAGTTGTGCCGCTGTGTTTCAGAAGGCTTCCTCAGGGATGGATGGTGTGGGCAAAGCAATGGTGGGTGTTTGGCGTGCACACACAGCCTTGGATGAATCTGACGCAGAGAGCTCCCCTGAAGCTCCAGACCGTTTCAAGAAGCAGCGCTCCTCTTCTTCCCTCAACAGTCTGAGGATGTCTCTGAGAAAGCGTCTCCCACTGCGCACTGTTCAGGCCAACTCTCTTCCTGAGAATCCCACCTGGGAAAACTTCCAACAGGAACCAAAACCTAGCAAGGTCCAAAGGTTCACCAGAAGTGCACGGAACTCCATCACAGAAGTCTATCAGGTATAGAGAGTTTATTTTGTGCAATAATGCTACTCCGCAAAACCAAGTAACAGAAACACACACGCATTGAAATCACCTAAAATATTTTATATTTTTAATAACATTAGCAACATAAATAGTATACAACACAAACCCAAACAAATCTGTTAGCATTATTATTACCTAAGTGACAAGGACACCTAAATTAATTATTGGAACATACATGTTAAAATGTGACATAGCATTATAAGTCGCAAGCATTATAAATAATGTTGTACAACCCACAGAAATTCCAGAGAACAAGGGAGTTTTCTCGTGAGGACTGTTTAGTTGCAACTCCAGGACGCATTTGTGAAGACGATGAACGAAGCAATTCAATCTCTCGCACCCCAAAACATACCCCACGCAGAGCCACAACCCCCAGGCGTACACCGAGAGCCACTACACCTGGACGCACTCCTGGATCCAGAGCACGAAAGACCCCAGAAGCGAGTGTTCGTGGTGTGAAGACTGGAAGAGGCCGAAGGCAGCTGGTCCGCATGGCTGCCCTGCGAAGCCCATTTGCATCTCCCAACACACAGAACCAGAGGATGTAAGACTTAACTATGGTTGTATTAAATGGTTGAATACTTGAGCACTCACAAACTCTTTCTGCTTCTACAGTATGTTTGACAAAGATCTTGAGTCAGTCTCTAGTGGACTAAGGAGACTTAAACATCTGTCCAGGGCTTTTGATGAGCTTATCGGCAGAGATGACAAGTAAGAACCTTTGAACACTGTTGCGTATTTTTGAAAGCATATCAGTTATACTGGTCGGTGTATCTGTGAAAAATACACACTAGTAGCAAGTATGTTGAATTGACTGTATATGCTCTAAAGACAAGCACATGGCTTTAATCCCCTGTGACCCGTTCGAAGAGTCCCAGTTCTGTTGAGCAGGCTATGGGCCCATGGCTCCCCCTCCTCCACATTCTTCCCGCCTCAGTTTCAAACTGGGTCTGTTTCTGGTATTCAGTGAAGGGGGAGAGAGGGTATACAGTCTGGAAAGGGGCCTCATGATATGACAAATATGCCAATGAGCAGTAAAGGGAAGTTCTGTCATCATGTCCTGTTTAGATGTGAAAATTTGAAAACGTATCCAAACTGACCTTTTCTTATTGGCGTCACAAAAGCACCACTGTTGTGCTTGCTGTCACAGTTAGCCACCAAATTTTAACCCCAAGAATGTGTTTCCCTAAAACAGACGGTTCCGCTATTCTATTATGGATTAACGGGCAGGAGAAGGTAATTAATTCTTAGCAATATTACTCCAAAGAAACTAAAAATGGCAGCATGTTACATAACATTGCATGACATATTTTCCCGTAATGTATTGTGATGCATGAACTAATGGATGAGCTACTGACCCGTTATGACCAGTAAATAACTTGCACTTCCACTTCCTGTCAGTGTTGCTCATGTTCTGATCACTGTGCCCACTGTTTGTGTGCCCAATATGCCCTCCTATGCCATCAGTAACTTTACACTACTGATGCACTTTTAATTCATGGATAACTTTTCTTTTTCAGAACTCTTTCAAGGGAGCATTGTGGAGGAGCTATGATGAGAAAGTTGGACCCTAGTGGTAAACTTTGTCGTTCAAACCTCACACGTCGAGCCGCTAACGTCTCAAACACTTTGGGAGACTGGGCACAGACCGCTGTGAACACTATATGTAAACCTAATTAACAAACACTCATGTGTGTTTCAAATGGGACCTTTGTATCTGTTTCTATGGAGTTTATGTTAGTACTTAGAAGGTGGAGACTGTAATAGGGCATTTTATTTGTTTTGCCTTAGCTTTATTCAGCCAGTATAGTCCATATATTTTGTGTTTACATATCTCGGGATAGTTAAAAACTGTAAAAATTGGCTACCAAATAGATATTTTTGTGTTGTCTAAAGCTGTAGCTGCTACAATCACATGTCTGTGTTACATTTAAAAATACTAATACTTTTTTATTTAGTCTTTCACTATACTGCATAACCCTGCACAAGACCAAAATATACACATACACTACTAATACTTCATCCACATTATATGCAATAATATGACTAATTTTGATCATATCTCCTCAAATATAGTTGGATATGCCAAAATATTTTCTGTTTTTTGTGAAAGAGGATTTTTATGCAACTGTTATATTTGTTTTTATACTTCATTACTTTATTACTTTATTTTGCATTAAAATATATGTAATGATATACACAAATTGTCAAAAGACTGCATTGAGAGCAACATTTGGCTGATTTATGCTACAAAGACTTTATTTTTTTTATATTGGTACCAGACCTTTGCATTACAATATTTTGGTTATGACTAAATAATGTGAAAAAATGTGTTTTGTTAAAAAAAAAATATATATATATATATTTTTTTTAAACATTGAATTGAGTTCTTTGGTCCTCAATCAGAATTACTTATTTATATCTAATGGGAAAAATACTTGTTTGGCCAGAAGGAGACATGGGGTTTTCTATATTGTAAAAAACTAAAAAAGGTGCAGTAGATATCAGTATCAGTATAAGAACCTGTTCCAGCCATAGACTATATATGTGTGTGTGTGTGTATATATATATATATATTATATATGTGTGTGTGTGTATATATATATATATTTATATTTCTATATATAATGTGTGTGTGTGTGTATATATATATACACACATCTTTTTTTTTAATTCATTTTTTATACAGTTTGTAAGGTCCAAACATTTGTGAAGCCAGATTGACATTTTGCGCACCTTGTTCCACCTTTTAAAATGCTTCAAAAGTGAAAGAATCCAAAAAGAGCTATCCAAGTGCAGTTAAAAACTTTAATGAGTGTTCACATAATTGAGGACATACAAAACATACAAAAGGAACTTTAACAGGTAGGTAACCGGAGGTCAAAAAACTGTTTGCCTCCACTCCCATTGTGCACCTTAAATAAGGAGTCACAGACCACAAAATAATACAAAAAATAAACATTACTTAATTTGACTAACATTTGCAATAAGTAATTGAAAGAAGAATAAATAGATCAAATTATTTTAAGAGAATAATCATGTTAACCATAAAGAAACAAAATAAGAATAACTAGAAAAGCACTCAGAGAGCGCAGACCTCCGCCAAGGACTACCCCCATTTTTTATATACATTGCGATAAAATCAGTCTTCTGGATCAGATCCGGATCAGCCTTTGGAATATGAAAGAGGATCCCATTGTCCATCCCTGAGTCAAGTGTCATGGGGTTTGGTCAGTAATTAACCGAGATATTGAGAAACAAATTTTTTGGCCCCATTTACCACAATGTTAACTAAAATTTCAAAGTGATCCAGAATCCAGGATTTCTTCCGAATCACCCCCAAAATGAAATCAGTTCTTCCTTTTCACATTTCCAACAAATCCTGAAAATTTCATCAAAATCGGTCCATAACTTTTTGAGTTATGTTGCTAACAGACAGACAAACAAACAAACAAACAGACAAACGCCGGCAAAAACATAACCTCCTTGGCGGAGGTAATTATGTCAGTATGGTTTGTAGCCTAGCCCATGACGCCCTATAGTGGCCTGTTTTAGTATTACACTTACAGAAATGGAGCCTGCTCTTTTTGTCTATTGTCGATACCCGTAGCAGCTTTGGCTTTGCTGAAAGCCCTCCTCCTCCTTCTCTCCGGCTTTGTACCCAGAGCTGAACCCACGCCGCGGCTCTCTTCTCCAGGATAACAGGGCCACTAAACTTAACTAAATGGCTCTTCACGTACCGAAAGCGCCGGGTTTTGCCCAAATGTTGAAAGATGGCGCAAAGGTGAGCGAAAAGTGTTGTGGTTGTAATGTTTTGTGCATCTAAAAAAGCCATGCTTGAGTTAGCATGCTAGCTGCCATCCATCCACTGTCATGTGGGAGAGTTCTAGAAGAAACCGGGGCCTTCAGCGTGACATAGGCTGAATTAGCGCCGATTGCATTTCCATCTTATTCCACCATATTACCTTTGTAATAATAATAAACACCATCTATGGTATACTTGTAGTATTTTAAATGTTTGTTTCTTGAAGAAGGCACGCCCTTATCGCATCCACTGACACAGCAGTGCTCTATCTGAAAGGATGCTTCCCGTTTATAACTCGTTGCCTTGTTTTATTTTTTTGATCCACAACGGAAGCTATTTGGACAGAGTAGCTCTCACATCACTTATATATATACACATTATATATATACACATATATATATATATATATATATATATATATATATATATATATATATATATATATATATAAAATAACAACAACAAAGAGTAAAAAGAGACGTGACATGCCGTTTAATGTGATTGTTTTTTGTACATTTGGTAGCACTACTCTGGGCTGGAAGAAGCTGTTTTTCGTAATATCAGAGCCTGTAAGGAGCTGTCCCAGACCACACGGACAGCCTATGGGCCAAATGGTACTACATTTATTTATTAAATGGATGTTTATTGTTTTTTTAAAGATGTACTTTATTGTGATGTTTGTGTACTTCCAAAGCTGGGTTCAGTTCAATGTATGATTTTTTTTTTTTATTATTATTATTATTTGCATTTAATTTTAGGTATGAACAAAATGGTCATTAATCACGTGGAGAAGCTGTTTGTCACCAATGATGCTGCAACAATCCTCAGAGAGCTTGAAGTGAGACTTTGGTTGTTTTGGTAGCAATCTGGTTGCATTTAAAAAATAATAATAATTTAACTGTTTTTCTTGTTCAGGTGCAACACCCAGCAGCAAAGATGGTTGTAATGGCCTCTCACATGCAGGAGCAGGAAGTGGGTGATGGAACCAACTTTGTCTTGGTTTTTGCTGGAGCTCTCCTAGAATTGGCAGAGGAACTCCTCAGGATGGGCCTCTCCGTTTCTGAGGTATAATGCAACTTGATAAAAGACCCATATAATTGCTCCACACAGATGCAATGGCAATCTGTTAATATTTGTTTTAGGTGATTGAGGGTTATGAAAAGGCGTGTAAGAAGGCTCTGGAGATCCTCCCTGACTGCGTTTGTTCTTCTGCAACAAACCTCCATGACATTAAAGAGACCACTTCTCTTATTCGTCCAGCGGTTATGAGCAAACAGTACGGCAATGAAGACTTCCTTGCCAACCTCATTGCTCAGGCCTGTGGTGAGTTTCCCACTAAATCATAGGCATTTAAAAAAAAAAAAAAAGTAGTTTTGGTACGTGGTAATGACTTATTTTATATTTTCTTCTCCATTATACAGTTTCTATCTTCCCTGAATCTGGCAATTTTAATGTTGACAATGTCAGAGTTTGCAAAATCTTGGTAAGTCTTATGTCTTTTTATATTTATAACTAGAGCCCGACCTATATGGATTTTGCTGTGGCCGATATGAAACCGATATAATGGGAGTTGGAGCTGCCTATAGCCGATATAATCGCCGATATGTTTAGTGATGTAAAAATTCACTGTAAATGTTGAATTGTTTAAAAAACTTAGGTTTGGCTCTGGTGGATTTTAAATTGGGTTTATTTAGGCAACATTTATTGTTATTCTGCCTCTTTACATCATATTTACAGACAGTAGGTTGGCTTAATGGCATTTTTGCATCACATTCTAGACACTAGTGATGGGTATTCCAGTTCTTTTTAGAGAAACGGCTCTTTTGGCTTGGCTCACTAAAAGCTGCTGGTTCTTTTGGCTCCCAAGCGGCTCTTCAGATTGTTTTGTTGCAAGCAGGTCTAAAGCACGTCTAAAGCAGGACTGAACCAGGTCTAAACCAGGTCTAAACCAGGACTGAAAAAGGACTAAACCGGGACTAAAACAGATCTAGACCACGTGTAAAACAGGACTAAACCAAAACTGAACCAGGACTGAGTGTCGGGACTCGGTCTCTATCTCGTGCCCAATTTTAGTCCTGGTTTATTTATTTTATGCTAAACTACAGCCAAATATGCTCGTTTTTGTTTGAGAAATTTGAGTGTACATAGGATAAAAAAAACAAAGTTTCGTTTTCAGCCGCTGCCGCTGTCAAACTACCGCGAGTCTGCTTGCGGAGTGAAGAGAAAATACGGCTCCCGTCGTTCGCTTCTAAGAACCGTTTCATTCGCGACCGACCCATAACTAGTAAAGAAACTAGCGTTATTAGCCTTTAGCCGTAAATACGTGCAATAATTAATTATATGCGCAAATGTAATAATTCACACCTCTATTCACAGCTCATTTACATATCAATGCAGGTCCAGTAACAAATATACAGCCAATGTAGTCACTTTACAATAGACCAATAGAAAACAGCCTGTTTATGTGCGGGAGCTACAGCAGCTAACCCATAACAAATGACCAAAACTAGCTTCAAAGTTGACATATTTCCAATACTCACCGCTCATACAGGCTCCTCCTCACATCACAAGTCTGCACTAATAAATGTCCTTTTAATCCAGACTCAAACCGATTGTCCGTAAAAAGAATATAATCTCAGTGTTTGGATCTGTGTCTGCGCATGTAAACAAACACACGTGAGTGACGCGACTCTGGTGTGTTCAGGGACAATACGGACACACACACACAGACAAATGACTCCGCAGATAAATACTGACGCAGAGTCACATATTAGGATATTTATCTGTCTGGAAATTGGATTAAATTAACATAATGTACAGAGTCTAAGATTTTTAACATCGGCCAACCGATATATCGGTCGGGCTCTATTTATAACATATACTGTTTGGCATTACTAACAGTGCTTTGTGTCAGGGATGTGGGGTGACTGCATCTTCCATGCTGCATGGCATGGTATTCAAGAAGGAAGCAGAAGGAGACATCACATCAGTTAAAGATGCCAAGATTGCAGTTTTCTCTTGTCCATTTGACTGCACCGTCACAGAAACCAAGGTAGGGAAGATTTTAGTGTACTCTTATTGCGCTGCTTAAAATATTGTATAGTGAATTCTGTCAGCATATTGGATTTTTTTCTAAATAGGGAACAGTCCTGATTAATAATGCCAAAGAACTCATGGACTTTAGTAGGGGAGAGGAGGACATGATGGAGGCTCAGGTGAAGGCCATCAAAGAGGCTGGAGCTAATGTGGTAGTAACAGGAGGGAAAGTGGCTGATATGGCTCTGCACTACGCCAACAAGTATAAGCTGATGGTTGTGAGGTGAGACCAATGCTGAACATGTGGATGCTTTAGAATAATATAAGATGTATCAAAGTGTCCTCATGTCAATGCAATATATTTTTAGGCTCAACTTAAAATGGGACCTGAGGAGACTATGCAAGACTGTGGGAGCAGTGGCTCTGCCAAAAATGGTGAGTTTCATTTTATCTGAAAAGTGGTGTATTCATGTGCATACAGGTTTTTAAAAAAAAAACACTTTTTTCCTCCATAGACTGCACCAACTCCGGACGAGATGGGCCACTGTGACAGCGTGTACCTTACGGAGGTAGGCGACACGCAGGTGGTGGTCTTCAAACATGGTAAGAGATTATTTTCTTTAAATATAGCAATGTATATTTTATTTTAAGGTGAACCTAAATCATTTGTGATACAGAAAAGGAAGATGGTGCCATTTCAACAGTCGTGATCAGAGGCTCCACTGACAACCTGATGGATGACATTGAGAGGGCTGTGGATGATGGTGTCAACACCTTCAAAGTTTTGGTCCGGGTAGGTTACCAGAAAGAGACTCTTAATTCATCAAAAGGACATACTGTTCATTCTACAGACATCCAAACATAAATCGAAAGCTCATGCAGTTGAGTTTTATAATTCCAGTGAAAATGTTCCTTTTCTGTATACAAGTAACAGTCCTCAGACCAGGGGTCTCCAACCTTTTTCCCCTGGTGAGGTACCTTTACAAAACAAAAATGCCAGACAGCTACTAATTTTAGAGATCACAGGACATAAAGATGCATAAGAACCATGGCAAGATGGGGTACAGTTAGATAAAACATAAACTATTATTTATTTATGAATCACGGATTTGCAATAATAGGCATTTTTTAAATCAAATTTGAGTTATTCAGGACAATACATGTAATTCAGAAATCCTTTGAGCTACTTGGAAGGGGGTGGAGAGCTACTGGTAGCTCCTGAGCTACAGGTTGGAGACCCATGCCTTAGACATTTATTTGTATTCACAGGACAAGCGCCTGCTCCCTGGTGCAGGAGCTGCAGAAATTGAACTGGCTAAGCAGTTGGCCTCATATGGAGAGGTAACAAAATTGCATGTGTTTGTTTTGTGCATTTCACTTGCATGTGAAATGTGATTGTTTTATTATTAAATATACATATTTTTCTTTCTTGCAGTCATGCCCAGGTTTAGAGCAGTATGCCATTAAAAAGTTTGCTGAAGCCTTTGAGGCATTGCCACGTGCTCTGGCAGAGAACTCTGGTGTCAAAGCTAGCGAGCTCATCTCTAAAATGTATGCAGCACATCACGAGGGGAACAAAAACATGGGCTTTGACATTGAGGTTCGTAGGATAAAATGTGTTTTACCATCTAAAATTATTGGAATTTAAGTTAATGTGGTTATGCTATAATTCTCAGGGAGACGGTCCCTCTTTGAAAGACATGGTTGAAGCCGGAATCCTAGAGCCATTCCTGGTAAAACATTGGGGTATTAAACTGGCCACAAATGCAGCAATTACAGTACTAAGAGTTGACCAGGTTTGTACACATTTCTATGATGAGTTTGTTCATTTTTTTATCTACCCATTTCTAGGTGTTCTCAGAATGTGCCCACATTTTGCAAATCTGCAAAATTTAAACTTTTGCTGAATGGTTACTGTTACATCACCTTCAGTTGGGTAACTCCAGCTTGTATGTATACTGTATACTGTCAGATCATCATGGCTAAAGCAGCAGGGGGACCGAAAACTCCCAAGCAAAGAGGCCACTGGGACAAAGATGACTGGGATGAAGAGCCTGATAAATTTGACACTCATCATTAGAGGGCGCTACAGTGCCTTCTTTCAGTAGGTTCATAAAAGGACATGTGGTTTGAACAAAAAACTCCTCACTGGCTAGTCTCACTCACTGAATATGGAGTTTGTCACTCACTACTAACACTAGTGTGAAACTGAACATGTTAAATATCTTAGACGACTTTGAAATGTGAATGTCACGGGTGATTTATTGCTCTTTAAAAACTAAACCACTGTTCAAAGAGCACTAATGTGATATGGTGTGATGGCATGGTGCATGGACTTGTAATATGACCTTATTTTCCTTACAGCCAGAAGAAGGTAAATCTAGCTTCTACTCTAATCTGCCTGGTACAATAGTCTTGAGGAAGAAAAGCAATATATACTATGTTATGTGAGAAGGGTATATATTTGATGTGTAATCAGACATAATACTGAGCTTAAATAGGATAGTGTTATCTGTTGCGTAATTAAATAATGTAAAGACAACCTTCTTTCCAATCGTAAACCACAGTATCCTAGTCGTTGAGTAGATTATCCCTTTGACCTGTGTATTTTGCCTCTGTTGCATTGAACTCTTGATCACAAACCCAATTAAAACGATAGAACAGTAGCTTAAACTTGACAAAATGTGGTTCTTTTCCCAGATCATCATGGCCAAACCAGCAGGGGGTCCCAAACCACCCCAGGACAGGAAGGATTTTGATGAGGATGATTGAATGTGATGAGGTTCGCCCGATGTTCCTCACTTCTCCCATGCACCCACATTCTTTTCTACATGTTTATTTAAAAGCTCTGTTTGGTTTATTTTGTAGATGACATGTTGATTGACAAAGACGTTTGTCACAAAGAAACAAATGTACTGATGGCTCTTTTGCATTTTATGTTCTTAAACCAAATAAAAGGCATTTGCGCTGTCACATTGTAGGTGTTTGTGTAGTTAATTTTGCCCTTTTTTCCACCAGGCTGACAGTGTGCTATCCACACAATTTTCCTCAGCATATTGGTGCGGAATGTTACTTTTCTTGTGGTTTCTGCCTTCTTGTTTCCATAGAGATGTCTTTGCTTTTATTGAAAGGTTCCACAGTATCTCTGGAATTAAACTATCTTACTGTGTGTTCATCTACATTTGATTTGTGACCTCAAGGGCACCTGCTTGCCTCCTTCAAAACAGACAAGTTCCATGGAGGCAGTTGTTGCATGGTGCACATTTAATGGTAACAGTCATTGTGCATAGGCATACAGGATTGACTTTTTTTTTTTTTCATTCATTTTGTCGCGTGTTTTAATAAACAAAGCAAATGATGCAGTATTGAGCAGTGAACGGCAGAGGGAGCTTAAAGGCCAAGTTTCCCCATTGGACGTGTGGCCAAGATGTGGGCGGATTTATTCTGACGTTGTCCATACAGGGATTAACTTGTTTTTTGTCGCCATTATCTGACATTTACCGCGTAACCTATGTGGATTTGTGCTTGAATTTAAATTTTCATTGGCTTTGCGTTTTGTTTTTTAGTCTTTGACTAATGTGCGCCGTAGGGAGTCGCACACTGCGGTAACATAATATGATTTGTATGGATAAGTAGCGCACGTTTTTCGCACTGTGAGGGCACAGTGCCGATGTTCTGTCACGCAAATGGGGGCCGACGGCAGTAAAAACTCGAAGGTGAGTCCTACAGACTCTATATGGTGAGTCCAGAGAAATCCCAAGTGTGACGCACGAGGTGGGGGTTCCCGTTACCCTGGCGAGGGGTGCCCCAAAGTTACTATGCTGTCAGTCTATCACACTGGTGGTGAAAGTTAACAGTGAAGCATATTGTGTAAAATAGGCTATAAAGCTTCAAATTTGATTACGAATTTGGTATGCGTCCTGAATGGGAATTAATTGATGGAATCCACAGCGGAGAAGTCGGATCAGATTGTGGACATTCAGCTATCAAACGGTGGACTGGGGCTGTGCGTTTGAGACATGGGGGTTTGAGACTGAATGACATAGATTTATTCCTGAATTAGAATCTGTGATAATAACATCTTGTCTGGCTGATTAAACCTCTTGCATCACAAAGCACAGATTTGCTGTCGAGCCAGAAAGCTCAGGAGGGAGAACGTCTTTCATGTGAAGCTGGATATGAACATACTTTTCTCCCCTTTTAAATATGTATGAAATGATTTGCTCTCCTTCTCCACGCTGCCCACTTTAAAGTCTACATAATGTTGCACAAGTCTGTTGTTGATGATTATTATGAATTCTTTATGCAATGGCCCCAGTAAAATCTTAGCTGATTCTAACTCAGCACTTGCATATCTTTAAAAAGCCTAGTTAATGAAGGAGAATGCAAATCCTGCATATTGCATTTGAGAGAGAGATACTTTATTGACCTCAAGGGAAACTCAAGTTTTGCTGCAGCAACATTTACACTACACTTCTCAGTTGCTTTGTGTCTCAATGCAGTTTAACCAGAGGACTGCAGATCAGTCAGCAGATCTCGTATCAGGGTAGTTGTATCGGGGTAAGTGTCCTTCTTCTGTGTTCTGTAGCATCACAGCAGCCTCCAGGGTGGAATCAGGTGAACACAACAGGAACGGCTTGTTCTTATTCCACTCTGGTGTTTCGGTTGGTGATTCATTCCCTCAGAGTGCTTCCTCTGGAAAGTCTTCTGCCACATATGTTACCACAGATGATGCATAATGTCATCTCAAATGTCCATAGCCAGTTACTTAACTAACCTCTTGCATGGTCTCTATGGATATGGGACAAACAAACAGCTCATTTATAAAAATCCAACAGTCCCTTGAACTGCACATGCTGCACATCTTAGTTGGTTAAAATCCCATGATATGATATTAAAAGATGTCCCTATTTACCCGAGACAATGCCAGTTTTGAGCCCTTTGTGCCCTGTCCCTATTTTTTGCCAATATGATACCTACCAACAGTAAAGAGGGGCATAAAATGTCGTTTATTTAGGTAAAATACAGAAAGCATGCTTAAAAATTACCAAAACACAAAGTTAGTTGTGAATAAGTCATGAATGTGCCAAGTGCATAACAATTTTCCTTAATTATGCACTTTTTACACAATTGTATTATTACCAACCACAACAAAACAGGGGTGTCCCAGTTTTTGATCAACATAATTCCATTTAGACTTTTAAATAATTATTCCATATTTAAAATGATACACTTTAATATATTTCGTGCAGCATCAGGAAGAACTTGGTTATGTTAAAATGTATGCCATTATACAACTACAACACTAGAAGGCTTAATGTGCACTGACCACTGACCAGTCTTCTCAGAAGTCAGACGTCACATCTTGAAGATTATATAAACTGTATTATTTTTGGGATTCATATACTAGCCTTTTTTTTTTATCTCGCTGCTTTTTAACTGACTGTTACAGAGGCCGGTGGGGGACCAGGATGATGAGCCCCTTGCATCTGGATGGAGAGGGTTTCTCTCCAGTGTGGGTCTGTCCCTTCCTGCCTCGGTGTGTCGTCTGGCCCCTCCAGCTCTGCGGCTCGGCCATCGTCGGATGCTCCAGGGAAAAGCTCCAGACATCCCCGAGCATGTGCTGAGGCTAGCGGGGGTCGGCCCAGACAAGCTGAGGGCCGAGTGGAGCTTACCAGGCTTCATCTCCATGTTCCTGCCAGAGTTCCCACACCGGACTGTGCCTGGACAAGAGCATTTCCAAGTACATACTTACTTTATGCCCTCAAGTGTCTCACATGCTCACTGTGTCTCTGCTTCAGGTTATGAGTTATATTGCCAAAGGCTCATTTGGACCCATTCTGAAAGTGAAAGACAAAGTAAAACAGAAAACCTATGCTGTGAAGGTAAAGTCTTGGAAATGTATGTTGTTTGTATGTATTTGCTAATTTTTCGCAATTTAAGTAGACAAGAAGGAAAAATATTTATGTGGTGTAAATGAATAATATACCAGTATTTGTCTGTTCTGTGTACAGGTTATACCTAAATCAGAAATCCTGAGACTTGGCGTGTTGGAACAGTCTAAGGAAGAAGTGATTGTTCAGGTGGGTGCAGTAGAACTATAGTAACTGCAGCTAATTCTAACAAATCAAGTCATTCAATTCATTACAGTAATAGTTCTCCAATGTACTTCCCCTATATATGGTCAGTGATAAAACTCAAGCTCAAGCTGACCTCTGATCTTTGCCTTCAGCGTCAGGTTCATCATCCATTTGTCCATGACCTCCAGGACTGCTGGCAGACTCAGCGCCACCTCTACATTAGTGAGTTAGCAGAGACTAGTGACCAGTGCTCTTCCTAACCTGAATTCACTTTTCCAAAATCTCCTCACCTTCCCTCAAATTTTTAATTAGTACTCAAATTTGAACATATGTCTTAGTACAGCATTTTTGCTTGGATTTCCGTGCTGTAGCTATTCAGACAGTAGTTGCTTTGCTCTCTCCTGGTTTTCAAAAGCCCTTTCCCTATTTTCAGTCACTGACACAGACAGTGTTACCCAGTTTGTGTGCATCCCCAGCCCTATTTAACGCGTGTGTTGAACGCTGATGGAGCTTATTTTGCAAGACTAAAATTAAAAAGGATTTCTGACTGTCAGTTCATTAATGCTTTTGTTGAATAATTTTATTTTACTTTCAGTCAGTGCGGTGGTCACAGACACACTTGTGCAGTCCTCATGTATCTTGCCACCCCTGCCTGCTTTTACCTTGTCACACTCCACACTTGTAAATGTTGTCTTATTTTTATCCCGCATCATATAACATTATATTAACATACCTTCTGTGCCTCCACAGTGTGTGACTACTGCAGCACTGGGGACCTCTACACTTACTGGCAAATGAATGGACAGTTTTCAGAGGATACTGTCAGAGTGTTTGCTGCAGAGCTGGGGTGTGCTCTGGGTGAGATGGCCCAACTTAGATGATCCTGTCTGGTTTCTATATTTAATTGTGCTGCATTGTCCTTTCTCCCAAGAATAAAATGCCTTGCTAGCCTTATTTTCAGCTGTATCACAAACAAAAAAAAAGAAAATTCGTATAGTTGCTATTGCTTAATTCCTGGCAAAAGATAAATTCAATTTGTTCGCTGGACAAAAGTTTATTTTGGTCAAATACATTTCACAGCTCATCCAAGCTGCTTCTTCAGTTCTGGTCAGAATGCTGATGGATGCTGCCTTATATGTGCCTGCAGGGAGGGGCTAACTACTTTGAAACTACTCTAATGAACTGTACTGAGTGCACATATTATTACCATAATCATTCAGGCCCATAATGAGTACACCTCTATCTCTATATTTTTCTTTGTTTTGTTTTAGGTCTAAGGATCGAGTTGTAAATGGGAGATAGATGATGTCTGAGGTCTCCATTTCTGTTCAAGGATGGATTGTCTTTCCTAACAAAAAAGACATTCCAGCATTCTGACCAGAACTGAACAAGGAACTTGGTTGAGCTGCGAAACATATTCGATCAAAATAAACTATTGTCCAGTGGACAAATTGAATTTATCCTTTGAATTGAATTTCTCCTTTGCCATGGATTCTGCCTTGATGACTTAAGATTTTACACACATATTGCTTAATCCCTGTTTATCTTTTAGGTTTTCTACATGACATTGGAGTCATCCATCGAGATGTGAAGGTAATCAAAATAATTCATTCACTTACTATGCTGTGCTGTAGCTAATTTATTTGCTGAAACTTTTCTTCTTTGTCTGTACATTTTCATTGGAAGTATACAATTCAATGAAATTTATTATTATACACAATACATATTTTGTTTTACACTTCTGTTTATGTTATAGATGGAGAATATTTTGCTGACAGACAATGGTGAGTGGCAAAATGCAACCAACAGATGGCAGCAAAGCACAGCCTGGACATAGCAGCCTGTCATTTAACTACTCAATTAATAATTATGTGTTACTGGTATAAAGTATATCTAATACAAATAAATGCGTTTGTACTTTATCTATTTTAACTCTTTTTAAAAACATTAATTATTATTTGTCCAGCTGAGTAACAGTGCGTATTGATGCGTTAAAATGGTCTGTTCCAGGACACCTCCGTTTAGCTGACTTTGGTTTGTCCCGTCGCCTGGAGAGAGGAGGGAGAGCCTTCACTATTTGTGGCACTATACAATATATGGGTAAGAGTAGCTTTCAAAAAGCACAAAAAGTAGAATAAAATTGTCACATGTCTGGGTGTATGTGTTCTTCAGCTCCAGAAGTGTTGAGTGGTGGGCCCTATAACCATGCTGCCGATTGGTGGTCTCTGGGGATCTTGATTTTCTCATTGGTTACTGGGAAGGTGAGAGAAAATGAGCAATGGGCAGTGACATCATGTGCTCATGTCTAAAGACTGTACTTTTTTACTGCTTTAATAGCTATTAAATGTGTTGTTTCCTCTGATCAGATCCATTCTTTAATCAAAATTCAATGTAACTTGTCTTATTTTGCCTAGTTCCCTGTACCACCTGAATCTGACCACTGCAACATGTTAAGAAAAGTTAGACATTTTCCATATGAAATGCCCCTCAGCTTTAGCCCTCCACTGGCTTTGCTCATCACAGAGGTATTTGATTATTTATTCCAAACTTAAATATATAGATATCTATCTAATCTAAACATTTATGGAACTTATTTCTCTCTTTAGCTTCTCTGCAAGACTCCTATTCGTAGACTAAGAACTATTGATCGATTTAAACGACAAGCCTTTTTTCGTGGGATGAGTTTTGACCTTGCCCTTATGCAGCGGGAGCCTGTGGAGGTACCGAGTGCTTTAATAATCATTGTGATGTGTGTAAGGTGTGCATAAAGATGTTTTTTTTAATGCAGGTGATTCTGATGCTGAGGGAGAGGCCGGACCGAGCAGCCAAAGCTCGCAGAGGCCTCACTCTGTCTTTGCAGCCACTGAAAGGTTTTGACTACGACTCCCTGCTTAGCCCAGACACTCCAGACATTCAGGACAACAGCACCCAAACCCACGTGACAGTACTGCCAGGACCACCACTGCAACCTGCTCAGGAAAAGGGTCCTCGCAGAGAAGTCTTTGTATGAAGCACTTTGTGTTTACTATAAAATAATATGCACTAAAGGCCTATGTGTAATCACACACATCCTCACTCTTACTCAAAGCTGTGGTGCACTGTGTACAAACTACCTGAGAAGATGCCTACAACATATATAAATATATTGAATTGGTTGATAGAGTATACTAGAGTCATGTTTTCAAAAAAGTATTTTTCTTCCATAATTTACAAAGGTAATTTTATATTATATGCCTTCCACTTTTCACAGCTCTTTTATTTGCACAGTGTTTTGCAAGGAATATTGCGCCATTGTTCGTCTCTTTCCTCGCGATTGGTCATGGTTGCCCTTTAACAAAATGTAACAAAATACTATCAGACATTTCATTGTTTTCTGTTACACCATAGGAATTTCTGGCTCCGCAGGAAACCACTACAGCTCTTGCAGAGGTACATTTCTTAAGATGAATTCTTATTGTCTTCATAATGTGAAAATGTGTTGGGTCCTTAAATTGTACATTTGATCTATTTCTGAATATTGATTTGTTTGTGATACCTTAAACGTCATTACCTTGGCTGTCTAGAGAATGATGCAGCAGAAATCTACACTTTCTTTATTTATTATTGACCATAGCATCATTTTTGCCTTTTTGTTTGTTGTAATCTGTCCAAAGTTATTTCCTTTAGGCCTTGTTTCATTTATTTTCACGTGGCTCTCAAGGCTGCAAACTCAAGGCTCTAAATATATACCTCAGTTTGTCTCTTTGATAGATCCAGGGCTTTTTCTATTTCCCTCTTGTAACTGACATGAATTGTGCCCATAAATACAACCTTTTGCACTTGCCTAATAATATTCTAATGGATGTTCACAAAATCATTGGTGATTCTGTGACAAAATGACTCAATCTGTTGCTCATATATAAATTCTGTGTAAAGACAGTGTTGTGTATATTTTTGTAAATGGAGAATAAAATTATTGAACTATATATAAGTATGTTTTATTGGCGAGGGGTATTGTTCTTCGTCGGTTTCTTTATTATTATTATTATTATTCCCTTTTCCGACCAAACGATCGCATTTTTGACCCCCTGAACATGGACGAAAAGGCCCCAAACCGGGGTCCAGATCGATCGGCCCGGCGAAAAATTCGATAAAATGGGCATCGCAACAATGACCCGAGTGACCCGACTCAACAGTGCCACCTAGAATTGGACCCCTATGGGAGTGGGAACAGGCAAAGTTTGTCGCAGGGAAACGAAATTCGGGACAGTGATAGAGAACCCTTTAGTTTTTACAGGAATCGATTCATTTAACTCGAGGTTCTCGAGGGCCACCATCGCCGCGCGCGGCTTTAATTTCAATTTCATATAATAATCTAACATGCTATGCTGAAGAAATGTAGTCTACTTTTAGCAGAATCCTTTGATTCATTAAGGTACATGTGCATTGTTCTGATTTGATTCTGATCATTGTTTCTGATTTGAAGTCAACATAAGTAAGTATGTATTTATATACATACTTATATATATACTTACCTCAGATCGGCCTTTTTGGGGTCTATAGCATAACAAAAAAAAAATTTGTCACAAAGATGCACACTCATGCTGCACCCAAGTGATGCTGAGTGGCGCATGCGCAGTGGATCCGTGACGCGCCGGGTAGGTCCGCCCCCGGGGTTTTGTAAAGGGTCACGTTGCGCTGCAGCAGGGAAACAGAAGACTTCTGCATCTCTACCGCACCGTTCACACACCTGCACGATCTGCTCCGTCACCAATCCGCAGGTAAGACATGAAACGACATCTTAAAAGAACCAACATATACAGTTTTATTTTATTTATTTTTTATTTTGAGGAATGAAAGAAAATGGCGTGAAACAGGATGCGATCCTGCGCCACATCCTTCCTTAGACTCCAAACTTCTGTCTTCCTTGTTAGTTAGCCGTTAAATAGCTCTATTTCAGGACATGTCTTTCGTTGTTTTCTCAGAAATACGTTTAATTGTTAATGTGCTTTGTACATCTGGTGTTTTGTTTTAAATTATGCTCCTTCATGAGAATGTGCGTCATTGAGGAAATACGTTCGTGACCTTCAGGGATGAGGTGATATGGGCCCGGTGCGCCTGGTTTACGTTATCACACGCTTTAATTGGCCAGGCGACATTTTGAAGTTGAGTAAATTTAATAATGGTTTTGAATGGCCTGTGGCTTTGGATGAAGAAGGGAGGGGGTAAGGTGGTGTCGTGTCTACTGTGTATCTGTGCTAAAGCACGTACACATCTGATGGGGAGGCGGGGCGAGAACCTCGAGTTAAATGAATCGATTCCTGTAAAAGCTAAAGGGAATGAAGCGCCCGATATATTTGGGGTTTTCCCTTTTATACAGTCTATGACTTTTTTCCCCCCTGCTTTACCCTTCGCGTATCTACATTAAAGTGTGTAGATAAGGGAAATGTATAATTGGAAAATTTGGCAAAAACTCCAAACACAAGTAATCTGGCTACTTTTTTTTGCCAAAATTACCATTTAACGTCTGTATTTTTAATTACATAGTTTATAATTACAATAAACCATTTAAATAAAATGGCAACCAAACTACACTATGTAAAATTTCCACCAAAGTACACTGTGTTCCAAAGTTAAAACTATGATTTTATATCACTTAAACATGAAGCAATTGTTTAATGCTTTGAAGTGCGTCACATGCATCTTGAAGAGCTCAATAAACACCATAAACAGCCACATGGGAAATGGTTTCATACACTTGCCAGGTCAAAGATGAAAGATGGATAGCGCCTAGTGTAGTAGCTTGCCTGATTCCACTCTGCTACCAACAAACAGACTGTCAGATTAAGTAAGCTCTTGTAGCATTTTCATCAACAGGTGTGGGAGGAAACTGAGCATAAAAGCCAGACTTGTCCTTCACAAGATTGAAGGAAAAAGTAGATGAAGCAACAGAACAGCAATAGTGCAATCTTTCTGTATGACTAAACCATTGGTGGTTAAATCTAGATGTCACAGTACAGAAGGGCTGTTTGTCTAGTGAGAGGTGACTTGTAAAAAGTCCTTTTGGGGAGAGGAATGAAGTAAAAACCAAAGCAGCAGCCTGTGGAGAGACGTAACCATCTGTGGGCTGCAATATCACACTGTTGATACTAGTATCATGTCACTGGCATATTTCAGACGGTTTTGCTTTTATAGGGAGAGCATTCATTTATGAGCTAGACTTGCAGCATAGGACTATAGTAGTACAATCTATTCCATTTGAACACATGTCCCCTGGGTTTATACAGTGACATAATGGAAACAACCTCCATATTCCAAAGAGTACATTGCCTTTTTTGTGAAGTGATAAATTGACTTTACACTCTACACTAATGCTTTAGAGTGCTGCTTTAGTTTGCATTCTAAAGGTGTATGTGGTCAAGTTCAAATTTCAAGTTTATTGTTTCTTTGTCCTTTTTAAATAATTCACGGTATCTAGCTAGGTTTAGTCTGTTGAAATCCTGGTCTGAACTTCCCCAAACACAAGGATAATGGACATGTATTGTTATAGGCTTCACAAAAGATAACAGGTATTTGCTGAGCGAGTGGTATTCTGTCTGTGGAGCAAAGCTATTGGAAGGATCACACTCTATTAATACTGTGTAACTTCAAGTGAAAAAAAATAAGCATTGCAGTTCACATGGCAGCCCCTATGCTTTTTTAAAGTACAAGCAAGTTGTATCGATGAAATGTGTATTGTGGTAACCACATACCTTGTATACACAACACACAGCACCTGGAATAGTTTGCCCCTTATTCTAAGCTAGGATTAACACAGAGGAGGCATTTGTTGCAGTAACACTGTCAATCATAATTAACAAAATTCTGTTAAATTTTGTTAACAATTAAAGCGTTTTCTTTCTTGATGCAACATGCAATAAAATTTGAGTCATAGCATGTTTGACTCTATAGTGGGCGTTTCTGGAAACGTGTTAGTACTTGTGTGACATCTGTATAGTCATTTGTTGTTCATTTCCTGCATGCAAGAATACTTTGTATAGTATATATCCTGGGCAGCAGATTTGAAATGTGTAATCAGTAGACACAGTTGTATGTAAAATTGAGCATGTTACGATTGAATTTATGTAGCCATCAGCATCAGGACTGGACATGCAACGGGGGGGGCTGAGCGTTGCTGAGGAGAGGGGAAAGCGTTGTGATGCATCCAGTTCAGCAGCTCTAACACGGTGCGACAAAGCTGTGTAGCTGTTGCGTAACTACTCCCACTCTGTCCGTCGTCTGTGCGGTAGATGGAGGGATGAGGTTATGTAAGCGCTTATTTACGGCAGACTGAGGATGGGATAGCCAACAAAATAATCTGGTTAAAGTCGAGACTGTGAATGTCAGCACGTACTGATGCACACCTCAGCCACACAGTAAGATTAATTTCTACTGAACTGACTATTAAATGGATTTATTTGATTTTATTGCTTGGATTTCCTGCATTGTCTGATCTATTGCCGTGAAATGTAAGTGGAGAACTATAGTGCTGTAGTGAGACAGCCACGTTGTCAACAATGGAGAATTGAATTGGAGGCCCAGGTCTGGCGCCTGTCCAGGCCCTGCTCTGTAAGGCAATGTGACCTTCTCATGGCTTTTTTTTTTTTCCTAATAGCCACCATGACTCACCAGTATCCCGCACTGACTCCTGAACAGAAGAGGGAGCTGCAGGACATTGCTCAGAGGATAGTGGCACCTGGGAAGGGCATCCTTGCAGCTGATGAATCCACTGGTATGTGTCTGCACAAATGCAAAAAAATGATTATTACATTTTTAGAATTTGTAAATGGCATGCAGATTGCTTTATACATTTTTGTGTCTATAGGCAGCATGGCGAAGCGTCTGAACCCTATCAATGTTGAGAACACAGAGGAGAACAGGCGCCGCTACCGCCAGCTGCTGTTCACAGCTGACGAGCGCATTGACAAATGCATTGGAGGAGTCATCTTTTTCCATGAAACCCTTTACCAGAACACGGATGATGGCGTTCCATTTGCCAAGCTGATCAGAGACCGTGGCATTGTTGTTGGGATTAAGGTAAATATTTACTCAAAGATGTCATGGTTGGCATTAAAAACATTATATTGCCAAACAAAGAAAAAACTACATATTGTTTTTTTACTGTGTGTTGTAAGTGACAACACAATTGTTTTGCATGTTTAGCCATACACAAACCATAAGGTCAGGTTTGTCATTTGAGGTTAGTATATAGAAGTGCATGAGAGGAGTAAAACCAAGGGCTGAGAGAAATTGAGCTATTGATGATTAATGTTTCTAATGTATTTTTAATAGGTAGACAAAGGTGTTGTGCCCCTGGCAGGAACAAATGGAGAAACCACTACTCAAGGTCCGTAGAGAACACCCCAGCATGTCCTTGTATTTTATACGTACTAAATCATATTTATTTACTGTAGGTTTGGATGGCCTGTCTGAGCGCTGTGCCCAGTACAAGAAAGATGGAGCAGACTTTGCCAAGTGGCGCTGTGTGTTGAAAATCTCCGATACAACACCATCTGACCTGGCTATCTTTGAGAATGCCAATGTGCTGGCAAGATACGCTAGCATCTGCCAGCAGGTTTATATTACTTGATAATTATGCAAGAATGTTTTCAGTTGTTTCATCGAAATACAATGCCAAATATTTTTGTTATGTTTTTGCAGAATGGTATTGTTCCTATTGTGGAGCCAGAGATTCTTCCTGATGGGGACCACGACTTGAAGCGCTGCCAGTATGTCACTGAGAAGGTACTTCAACTATTTTAACACAGCTGTTCTTTAAGGAGCTTTACTGCAGTTTGTCCTCACTTCCTGGCTCTTGGTCTATAGGTTCTAGCTGCTTGTTACAAAGCTCTGTCTGACCACCATGTGTACTTGGAGGGGACTTTACTCAAGCCCAACATGGTAACTCCTGGACACTCCTGTCCCACTAAATACTCCAGTGAGGAGATTGCCATGGCAACAGTTACTGCCCTTCGTCGCACTGTGCCCCCTGCTGTCACAGGTACAAAGCAGTCTTTAAGGCTAGTCCAATGTATCATTATTTTGATTAATGTATTTTTTTTCCTTTCAGGAGTGACTTTCTTGTCTGGTGGACAGTCTGAGGAAGAGGCTAGTGTGAACCTAAATGCCATTAACACCTGCCCTCTCACCAAACCATGGGCTTTGACCTTTTCTTACGGCCGTGCCCTTCAAGCCTCTGCTCTGAATGCATGGAGAGGAGAGCTGAGCCAAGAGAAGGCAGCCACTGAAGAATTTATCAAGCGTGCTGAGGTCAGACAGCCTTATTTATTTCTACCCCAGTATTCAGTGGTAGAAAATCTAACACTGTTTTCTGTTTTGTTTAGGCCAATGGCTTGGCAGCTCTTGGAAAGTATGAATCTCCTGGAACTGGTGGTGCAGCGGGAAAATCTCTCTACGTAGCAAACCATGCCTATTAAACATCAATCTACCACATTCATTGTGGCCTATCAATAGTCTTATACTGTATTCACTCAGCTTTTCCCCTCACTCCTCCATCAATTACAGGCCTGCGCTGTCTACTGTACTTTAGAGTTGTAAGATTAAAATTATTAGATGTATGTATTTAACATCATTAAGATAAGATTTTCCACTAAAAGATGTAGACTTAATTTATTGTTTGCTTGACCAGTCAAATTAACTTTAACTTTTAAAAACAATTCATGAAACAAGTGAAAGTGTTTTCTGTCTTTGACAGATTTTCCATTGAGGTGAGAATGTAGAGGCAGACTAATTTAATCATCATACACTCTGGCTCAGCACCTTTTACCCCTTTCCTGCCTATCGGTATTGGGTCATTCCCAAAAGGCTGGAGTTTGCATATTGTGTTAGTGTATTGCTTCTGTAAGAATGCAGTGTTTGGTCATCTTCAATTGTGCTACACTGATAAAGCCCTGACATGGGACCAATGATCATAAGCGGCAACACAACCATATATATAAATAAATAATATTTGCAAAGGGACAAAATATGGCAAAGAACATGTGGTACGGACTGAAATTTAAGAGTAACTTTGCATTCCTCATTGTATTGTCGGACAGTTGTAGCTGAAGTAATAGGAGGACTGAGATGCCCTACACATTTTTGTGCTGACAAACTTTTGAACGCCAGCAGGTGGAGAAACGTCTCTTCAATTATTCCATTTGCTTTTAAATTACAGTTGGTGTTGAGTTGTGTAACTGTGTTGATATATTCTGATGCTGTGTTGCCCCATCATGCTTCCCTCAGCCAGGCCCACATGAAAATGTAAAGACGGTTTCTGTAACACAGAGATGGACCAAATCAAGGGGTTGGCTGCAGGGAAACAGTCACTGCTGTGTTGGACTATGATATGTGATATTTGATGTTAATGTGTCTGTAGTAAATAAAAAATAAAATAACTCAAATAAATGCTTAAAAAGTGATGTTTCAATCAGCTTACCAGTCCCACCTACATAAAAACAACTCGACTACTGTTCTTGTAACTGGACTCATGCTGTAGCCTATCCATTTAAACGGTCTATTCCCATACATTCAAGGGATCAGGAATAACATTGTTTAACTAAATGAGACATTAGGAACACTGTTCCCCCTTGAAATTCCAGGAAGCTTCAGTTTTCAAGTTAACAGCTACCCTTTACCTTTAGTTCAGTAGAGATAGGTAATTCCTGGGCTGAAATTATCCAAATTATTCTAGTGAAGGTGTATGGAGTTTAAAAATACAATGGAGCACTTCCTGTATTACCACGTGACATCACAAAGAACAGAATGTTTTCTGTTTGAGAAAAACTCAACCTAAAAACCTAGGGTCAGTGTGTTAACCATGTGTGAATAAAACTAAACTAAGACCTTAATCTTAGTTTTGTTTCTTAAGATCTTGATTAACTGTGTGCATATGAAGTGTTTATAAATATGCAATGGGCAGAAACATTTTGAAAGAAAAAAAATGGAAAGAGTCTGATAATACAGACTGTATAAATATATATATACTTACTTTTTATGCAGTCTATGGTTGTACACATTTACCACGTGACATATGACATATATATGTTCGACAAGCGCATGCGCATGGCACCGATTCATTCAGTCGGCAATGGCTACTACGGAAGTGGGTGAGTAGATTCCTGAATTTCAGTTATACTTGTGTTGAACCGACCGAGTACAACATGTCAGTCACGTTTTAAAATAATAGTAAAGTCTATGCAAGAAATGTCTGCGTACCGATGTTTGAAAGGATGATAATTCCCACAATGCCGAGCCTTAGCACACAGCTAACAGAACTGGTTTCATCTATGTTCATCCCTATAAACCTGCTTCTTAATTAAAATATATTATGGTTATATATCCCTTCGGCATTGCTTTGTATTATGTTCTTGCTCTACATAAAGCATGCACATGTTGTTTTGATTTATAAATTTTTCACATATATAATTTATATGATTTATAATTTTCTCACATAGTACAGCTAAACTAGAGTGATTTTGACTGTGTTGCAACGTAACGTATGGTTACTTGAAGCCCAAGTGTAAACTATATTTTTATGCCCATCTGGTCTGTGTATGTCAGAGCGAAGGCGGGGCCAGCTTGCTGCTCTGTCCATAGCAGCAGTGGTCATCATTGTTGGAGTCCCTCTATGGTGGAGAACTACTGAAACCTACCGTGCCTGGCTACCTGTCAGCCAAATACAGGAGCTTGCTGATCTGCAGGTTTTTATCACTGAGTGCAGAAAAATGTTTTGTTTTTTTTTATCTACAAAATGTCTAAATGTTTTGTGTACAGCTTCAGTTAAGTGCTGATGTGGAGGTTGTATTTGCACGAGGTACAGTCTCTCCAGAGCAACAGAAAAAGATCCCACTGACGCTGACAAAGGATGAAGAGCACATAATCGATGGTGTGTGTGGTCTGTTCTTGTTGAGGTTGTCACAGTGTATCTCACCCCTCCTGGATCAAACATTATTAGTAATTTGACTTTTTTTTTTTTATTCTAGAAAGCACATCTCTGAGGTATAGGTATGAGACCCGCTACCGCACAGCCACCATCATGGAGGAAGATGCTTTGAACCAGCCTACAGCTGCAGGCAAGATAATCACAAGCAATAGAGCCATTTTTCCATGTGTAGATTCTGTAATATTTTGTGTTTTGTGTATTGTTTAGAAGCTGATCTCTCACTGCACACACTTAGTGAAAGTCCATGTGGCTCTTTAGTAGTTTACATCATCCCAGATTCATCACTCTTGCTTCCAGAGGTAATACTGTTTATTCCTTTAGTCCAATGATGAAATGCATGTACTCATTACATTATTACTTGTTCATCTTGTTTCCATTTCAGAAAATAGATGTTTACATTGGCAAACGTCGAACAGCTGTGCTGCGTGTTCGTGCTCAGGTGAAAGTCGGAAAAACACTGGAGCAGTTGCTGACTCATTTGGAGCCTCAGATCCAACAGGTGCTGCAGGTGATGTCTTTCAGTCACGCTGATATCACTGCTGCCCTTAGCGACCGTGTCCGACTCAGCCCGGGCAGCAAAGAAAGCATTGCAGACAGTATGAGAACCTTCAAATCAAGCCCTGGTTAGTTTACTAACACAATACAAATCAAACTATGCAAACTCTCTTCTAATAAGTTATGTTTTCCCTTTAGGTTATGAGATCACATTCAATCTGTTAAACCCAGACCCAAAATCACACAGGCTTCATTGGGACATTGAGGGTGCTGTGGAAAGCTACATTCAACCTTTACTTTCAAAACTTGCTCCAGTGGCCAACTTTAGTATTGATTCTCAGGTAAGGTTTAGATTAACATTTCACTTACAACCTCTTGAAGCTGAAATATAACCTATATTGTGGTTCTGTTTGTCCTTGTGTTTACAGACCTTACACTATGCCATGCTTGGTGTCAACCCTCGTTTTGACAGCAGCCATAATGCCTACACACTCAATGCGGATAGTCTTGCTCATGTTATAAACCCTGTTGAAGCTAGACTTGGTGAGGCAAAAACTCATGCACGTTATTAAAGGTAAAACATTTTTTCTGAATTTTTCAGATTTTTCATGATTTTGATTTCAGGTTCCAATGCAGCCTCCTCCAACCCAGTGCTTAATTTTTTGTTATATGTTCCCGATGCCAATCATTCACCTCTCTTCATTCACAATCACAACAAACAAGAAGTACCTTCAAATGCATTTCATTCACCTCGCTGGGGTGGAATTATGGTAACTGCAGCAGAGCCTTAGAGGGTTATTTGTTATTATGTAACTTTATTTAACCATATTCTGTGTATTTGTGTTTATAAGGTTTATAATGTCAATGATTTTTATGGGCCAGATGTTTCTTTCCCTGTTGACATTAACATCAACATGGCGAATGTCATGGGAGTATTCCTTGCACAACTTCGGTAATATGCGTGTGTGTATATGTGGATATATATATATATATATATATATATATATATATAAATTTACATTCATTCCTATTACTTTTGTTTTTATTGTGATCTGACAAAGCTTCTGTACACCTCCTAGCCTCTTGTTAGGAGTGCAGTCTTCTCCCCCTCCCTCTGGTTTTCTGGTGGCACCCTGCAATAGTTTTGGACTGGCTGACTGGGAGCTGGACCGCCTTATGTGGAGCAGAACTGTGGAAAATGTTGCAACTGCAACTACGACAATCACCTCTTTGGCACAATTGTTGGATCAGATAGGCAACATTGTTATCAACGACAATATTGCCAAAGAGGTAAGATTAAGTTATTTCCACCAGTATTGTCATACAGAAATAACAAACATAACCTCTAATGTGACTTTGTTTTCAGCTTTGACTGTCTTTGTTTTTGTTTTATCTAAGGTGTCCAGTGCTGTTACAGCTCTGCAGTTGGCCATAGCAGAGTTGGAAGCTGGGAACCTCGGCTTTGCACTGCAATACAGCAAAGAGGCAATCTTAGCTTCTGAAAAAGCATTTTTTGATCAATCATTGCTCCACCTCCTATACTTTCCTGATGATCAGAAGTTCGCCATTTACATCCCTTTGTTTTTGCCCATGTGTGTGCCAATCTTTCTATCACTGCTAAAAATATTATCAGAAGTTAGACAAAGACGGAAGCAGAAGCAAGCCAAAAAGGACTAAAACATGAGCAATGTGTAAACATGAAATATTTAGTCCACTTAGAATTATAGGGTTCTATCTGACTTTGTCAAAATTGACTTATTCATATATTCTTGTATTTGAACATGTTCAATTTAGTTTAACATTTATTCAGTGCATGTTTTAAACATATATTGGCAAAGACATACTTTGTGCTCTATGGTCAAGGTGACCTAATCTACCCAGAATGCAGATAAGAACCATAGACTATATACATTTACATAAATATATAAACTTTGTACAGTCCATGGATAGAACCCTATGATTCCAAGGGGACAGTTTAAATTTGGACTGTAAATAGTGAAGGTATAAATCATTGTATTGAGTGACACACAATACCCTTTGTCACTTGTAATTTTATTTGTGTGTGTGTTTGTTTGTTTTTTATTAGTCGGTGTTAATTTATTGAATAAAGTTCTTTTCTCTTTTTTTTTTTTCCAAAAAAAAAAGTGTGAATCGCGTGCACGCATCTATCCAGGAGGCGGCGCTTATGTGAATTTCAGCCATTGGGCAGGGCGCACGCGCGGAGTGAGACGGCTCGTGAAGAAAGGCCTCGCGTTGCTTCAGGTGTGCCGCTCGCACAACGCAAGAAAACTAAAGCGTTTTTAAGGCTTCGGCCTCCTGAAGCTGTCTGAAGGCGTTTCCCCACAGTCGGGTGTCCACATTTGAGCAACTTTACAACCTTCTTGACCAAAAGCTTGTTTTCCACCACCTGGAAGCTTTCGCGCTAAATTAGCATAGCTCACGTTTCGTGCTAACCCCTTGTTCGTGTTAGCCATGTCTGGTATTGTTCGTGGACCTCAAGGCAGCAACGACTGTCGGATTTATGTGGGAAATCTCCCTCCAGATATACGCTCAAAGGATGTGGAAGATCTGTTCTATAAGTACGGAGTCATTCGCGATATTGACCTGAAAAACCGAAGAGGAGGACCACCATTTGCCTTCGTTCAGTTCGAGGACCCGAGGTAAGACAATCGTACCTTATTTTTTACAACCATTAAACGACTTGTTTTCGTTTATTTTATTTTTAACTTTGGGGAAAATCACGTAATTGCGTAGCCTTAAACTACATATGCTTTTAACAGTATTTTAATCCCGTCAAAGAACAGGTGAACTGTATGCATTTGGTATTTTCTTGCCTCATTTGGATTTTGCACGTTTTCTTTACAGAGATGCAGATGATGCGGTTTACGCACGTGACGGTTACGACTATGATGGGTACCGGCTGCGGGTGGAGTTTCCTCGAAGTGGTCGCGGTGGTGGTGGTGGTGGTGGTGGACCCTCGTCAGGGCCTCCTAGGGGCAGGTTTGGGCCCCCATCCCGCCGCTCTGAGTACAGAGTTGTTGTGTCAGGTAAGAAGAATTCACTTGAGGGGCATATTCCCTTCCCTACCAAAATGATCATCATGAACCTGACAAATTGCGTTCTAGGGCTTCCTCCGAGTGGAAGCTGGCAGGACCTTAAGGATCACATGAGAGAGGCAGGTGATGTATGTTATGCTGATGTTTATCGTGATGGCACTGGAGTGGTGGAGTTTGTACGCAAAGAAGACATGACCTATGCTGTCCGCAAGCTGGATAACACCAAATTTCGCTCTCATGAGGTACGTATATGTTAAAACTTGTGCTAAACACAACCAGGTAAGTATTAGTCTTGCCCATCATAGCATTATATAATGGCATTTATAGAATGGAGTATCTGCCTTGTTGATTATTGATAAGTAACAAACAACCTGGCTGTGTTGTCGTTTTTGAGGGTTTCAGTATATTGTTAAATAATGCCAGATTGTGTTTTTGTGTTCAGGGTGAGACCACATACATTCGTGTGAAGAGTGATGGGCCTGGCAGTCCCAGTTATGGCCGCTCCCCCTCACGCAGTCGCAGCAGGAGCCGCAGTCGCAGCCGAAGCAGGAGCGCTTCTCGAAGTTATTCTCCTCGTCGTGGCAGAGGATCTCCTAACTACTCCCCCCGCCGCTCCCGTTCACGCTCTCGCACCTGAACCCTCTCCCAGAACAAACCAGTGGCGTGAGCTCAAGAAGGCGGCTTCATACATAAACAAATTCTGCAGTTCTCACGGACCATGTGATTGTGTATTTTTCGCTAACTCTTCTTTGTCTCTTGTCAAATTTTGTTGCATCTTACTTTTTTTTTTTTTTTTTTTTTTTTTTGGTTGTTTGGTTTTTTTTTGTTTTGTTTTTTTACACTTCTATTCTGATAATTCTGCTAACTCATCTATTCCTTTTCTAATCTTTCCCACATTTCTACATTGCTTTGTTGTATGGATAGTTTTATACAGTGCATACTATTGTACTTTGACCTTCTTGTGTCTCTCTGTACAGTCCAGAGGAACAGGATAGGATGGGAGAGGATACAGTTCAAGTTAGGATTAACAGGAGGAGGAGTCAAAAATGGCACCAATGGTATGATGGCTGTGCCTTGTCAACTGTGAACACTGCATTATAGGGCTTTTGAGTTATTTTTCTCTTTACCGATACTTGTTATCCAAAGTTTTTTTCTAATTTAACATAGCAGACCTTTAAACTTAAACAGTAATTAGTTTTTTGAAACTTGATTACATATGATTTTGAATGATTTTTGAAGGTGTGATTCTAACTTGCCTCCTTCTCTTTGATTTTACTGGTATCTGAAGGTTTGGACTGGGCTCTTTGTCTGACCATTTCGGAGCTGGATTAGGATTAGGATTCAGGATGGATGCATGGAGCAGGCGCACGGGAACAGTTTACCCGGGAAGGGATTCCGACCCCTGGCCCTGTCTGCATATCCGCTTCAAACTGGAGATAAAATAGAAAAAACATCAATTGGCTTTTTAACAAACTATTTTCAATTGGAACCAGAGACATGATCACATGCAATGGTGAGGATTTATTTTTTCAAATTTTTGTTCTTCATTAAAAGAAGAGGAAAGCTTGGATCAAACCAGGAGGGCTGGGAAGTGCAGGATGGATCGACACGCATAAGGAGTGGTAATTTGTGGGTGATTTACAATAGTGAAAGGGGAGGGGGACCTCCGGATGGTTCTATTGCTTTCTTAGGCCAGTCTTTTTCTGAAGTTTTAGTTATAACTTTGAGTATGCCATAGCTTTATTCTCTTTTTAAATAAATAATTGTAATAAAACATGCTTGTTTGTTTTGTCATTTGTATTAAATATTTCAGCACAAAGCAGGGATTTGTCCTTTCAAGGTGGGTTTTTTGTCAGTTTAATTTTTGCAAGTTGCTAACTTATAATGCCACATCTTGACATGAACATTTTGAAAATGTTTTTAATTTTTAGGGACCAAAGTTTGAGTCTGCGGACTTTGTTTTAAAAATGACTTCCCAAAGGAGTGTGAAGTGAAGAAATCTGTGAATCAGATTAGGGATAGGAGCATTTGCAGTGCAATGACGCCAGTATAGTTTGATCAAGCTGACACAAATATGACAACAGTAGCCTAACAGATGAAGCATGAATGAACACTGAAAGAATAAAATGGTCCATGATGAGTACTTGCAGGCGACAGAAGTCTTACCCCCGTCACTGATCCTTTATACCTGGTTGTGTGAGTGAATGATGGATCACATGTTTTGGACATTTTTTCATTCTTACAGAGGATAGGACAGCGGTGCATTGTGGGGTGAAATAAGTTGCTGGGCATGCCCGCAAGTAAAAAATGCCGTTGCTTCTGCGTAGATGTCACCTCAGCCAATGAGACCCGACTTGTGTTGTGGAGGGTGGGTCTAAAACCAGGTTCTTTCTTTTCTGGATGAGCAGGACGTATCCTGAACCTGCACCCTTTGGGAAAGTGATTGTTCAATTATTTAAGCTTCAGAAAGACGAGGTAAGACATAGTTAGTAATTGGGATGCATTAGTGCTTTTATAATGCCAGTTATTAGGTTAATTTATTGAGAGGAAACCATGTGCTCCTTGCTTCTTTCTCGCTCGACCATGAAGATGAGTTAATTTGGACTTGTATTGTCCCTTTAAACATCTGTAAATATATTGGCGAAAAATTGTTAAATTGCATTCGTATCCATTCCAAGTAGACCCAAAATATCATAATATCTTTATGATATCTTTCTTTGGTCTTGGTATCTTTCTTTTTTCAGCATTTAACCAGATATATTTTTCATTTTGTTGTAGTAAAGTCAAAAGTCGCCACCATGTCGGAGAAGAAAGCTGTCATAAAGAACGCAGACATGTCCGACGAAATGCAGCAGGATGCAGTGGACTGTGCCATGCAAGCAATGGAGAAATATAATATTGAAAAGGACATTGCTGCTTATGTCAAAAAGGTATAACCTCTCACTTTAATATTATCATGCTTCCTAATATCTTTTCTGTCCACATTGTTTAAATAAGGCAAAATACAAATTGAAAAGCAAGTTGTCCTGAAGCTTTGCCCATCTACAAAATCAAGGCTCAACTTCTTTGACAACCAAGAATTCAAATTGTACCCTTAGTTCAAGTTTTAATTCACATTTTAATGATATTCACTCTGAAAAGAGTGTAGTTTTGGTCATTAGAGGGTGATTTAGATCTAATATTTCTCTCTTTGTATCTTTGTATCTCTTTGTATCAGGAGTTTGACAAGAAGTACAACCCCACATGGCACTGCATTGTTGGAAGAAACTTTGGAAGTTATGTTACACATGAGACAAAGCATTTTATTTACTTCTACCTCGGGCAAGTGGCCATTCTGCTCTTTAAGTCTGGCTAACAACTGAATGTGCAGCCAGGCTTTTGAAACTGTCAGCTACACCACAGACCTACCTCTTAAGAAATATTTCTACATTATTGCCTAAAGAGGTCCGCAAAACATACAGGGTCTCTGGAAAGCTTTTTTTTTTTCATGTTAATTATATTGATGGTATGTAAACTACAGAACTGGTATTTGTTGAGATTGTCTCATTTTCAATAAGCAGTTTCTTCAAACAAAAATATTTATGTGCACAATATTGTTTCTAATTTTGTTGTTAAAAAAATAAAAAGCTGTAGGAATATAAGTTTGATTGCTATTGTCTTTTGTAATGTTTCATGCAGCAAATAAAAAAGATAAATTATTTCTGTTTTTGAGTGACATGCATTTACTCCATTGCACAGATTAGCATACTTTATCCCAGTAAAAGCTTTAACTGTATTCCTGTAAAACATTTTCATTGTTGGAATTTTAAATATAAAAAAAGTGGTCTTCAAATTATTAGTTTGAAGATGAATAATAATATTATTCATATATTGGTCAATTATAGGTGATCTGTATGTATCTTTAAATTGGTTTTGGTGCCGTCATCATGGGGACCTGCCTCTAAGTCTCCAGTAAGTAAGACAATCCAAAATATGTGGGTCTGTTACCATGAGTGTGTGGAGCATACAGTCCCTGACAAAAGTCTTGTCGCTTATCTGTTTTGTAGAAACAAAAGCTTATAACCTGACTTTAAATTAATCGATTGGTTTTAGAAATGTCTCATATGAAAGCTAAAACCCTCCCAAATTATGCTCAATATACTAAAATAAGTTTGCTTCACTGAAGAAAGATTGATCATTTAATGAACACAGAAAGGTCAGATTTTGGCAAGACAAAAGTCTTGTCGCCTTGTCATATGATGCACCCAGTCCAGATTACAGCCTCACCTGTGATCAGTTACTGATCAATCAATTAGTGGGTGTGTATAAAAAGAACCCCAGCACACCAGCGTCTGTGACGCTGTTTAAATCCAGACTCAAAACATTTCTGTTTAACTGTGCATATAACTGAAAGGTTTTCATTCTGCACTCTTCTCTCTTTTTTAATTTTAATCTTCATGTTTTGATTTGTTTATTATGATTTTAATGTATTTCTTATTCTGTAAAGCACTTTGAATTACTTTGTGTACGAATTGTGCTATACAAATAAACTTGCCTTGCCTTACCAGACCTTCACAACAACTGCAACTTGACCTCTGACAACATGCCTAAGAGCCACCCTGAGACCAAAGCGTTAATTATCAAGAGGCTGAAGACCAGATCCACTGCTGAGGTGGATGACACCTTCAATGTGTCTCAGCGTCAAGTACAAAGAATAAGAAAAAGATCTGAAATGACTGGAGATGTTTTTGACAAGCCCAGGTCCGGCAGACCCCGCAAGACAACTGCTCTGGAGGACCGTTTGTTGATTCAAAGATCCAAGGCCCCTTTTCCACTGCAGCAGACTCCACCAGGCCTGGTCACCTCAAGTCCCTGTGTCAACCACAACAGTTTGTAGAATTCTGTCTCGAAATGGCCTCCATGGTCGAATCAGTGCACGAGAAACCAGCACTAAACAAAAGACAATTAAAAAACCATGTGGCATTTGCCAAGGCCCACAGCCTGCTAAAAGGATGGACACTGGAAAAGTGGCAGAAGGTGGATTTCTCAGATGAATCCTCGGTTAAATTTCATCACAGCTGCCACAAATATTGCAGGAGACCTACTGGAGCCCCCATGGATCCAAGATTCACCCAGAAAACAGTTAAGTTTGATGGCGGAAAAATCCTGGTCTGGGGTTACATCCAGTATGGGGGTGTGCGAGACATTTGCAGGGTGGAAGGCAAATATCAATAGCCTAAAATATCAAGAAGTATTAGCTACCTCTTACATTCCCAACCATAAAAGGGGTCAAATTTTGCTCCATCAAAGTTTCTCAAGGCGAAGAAGATCAAGGTGCTCCAGGACTGGCCAGTCCAGTCACCAGACATGAACATCATGTCTGTGGTAGAATGAAAGCGGAAGCATGGAAGGCAAAACCAAAGAATCTTGATGAACTCTGGGAGGCATGTAAGACGCTTTCTTTGCTATTCCTGATGACTTCAACAAATTGTATGAATCTTTGTCGAGCTGCATGGATGCGTCCTTCAAGCTCATGGAAGTCATACAAGATATTAAATATGGATCTCACAGCACCACTACTTAATTCACTGACGTTATGCAACATATTTTTGTATTTGAAGTAAATTATTTGTTAAATTTTCTGTAGGCGATAAAAGTTTTGTCTTGCCAAAATCTGACCTTTCTGTGTTCATTAAATGATCAATCTTTCTTCAGTGAAGCAAATTTATTTTAGTATATTGAGCATAATTTGGGAGGGTTTTAACTTTCATATGAGACATTTCTAAAACCAATCGATTAATTTAAAGTCAGGTTATAAGCTTTTGTTTCTACAAAATGGATAAGCGACAAGACTTTTGTTAGGGACTGTAGATCCGTTGGTGCATAGTTATGGCTGCATTTACCCTTTCCAAATGGCTTTATTTTGTGACAAAGTAAGGACGTGGTTATGCCGCATCTTTAGGGGGCAGTAATGAGTCGAACATGCTGATTTAGCCCAGTGGAAGCATGTGTTCTTCCGATCTTGAAAGTATGGCGGCGCAGGCTGGATTTTCCATCGCTGCACCGGCTTTTGGGAGCCGTCAGGATGCTTCTGTCTTATCTGCTGTGTCTCTGTCCGCGGAGGCTGCCCCGTTCACTCCACGGGATTCATCCGACGCTGATAAACAGTTTTCCCACTGCTACGCCAAGCTCCGGGGGTTGCGGCCACAATCTGCCCAGCTCAGAGACCACCTCAACCTGCTGTTTGATAAGCTCCTCTCGGAAAACTACAACAAAACATTTAACCCAGATATCACCATTCGCCCAGAGGTACTGTAATGCCCCTATCCCTTTATTGTAATGGCTACAGCTTCATTGTTATTACTGAATGTCACGAATCTATATTTTTATGGCATATTTGAGAATGAATTAAACAGATACAAAACTAAGGCTACTGGACTACTTGACACTGCAATATATATGATATTTACATACTCTCCATTGGTGGAGTCCTTGTTTTGAAAATAGTGGTTTGTTGTATTCTGTGATGTGAACACTAGAATGAGGCTGGCCACACCCAACAAGACCAAGGCCTATCAATATTTTACAACATCACACAATTGTTACACATGTAAATATACATATATATACATACATGTATTGTCTATGTTTACATTATATTGAAGGCGAAATCCTTACTATGTGTCTATAGCGTTATTTCTAACATAACATGTCTTTCAGGATGTGTGCACCCTTTTGAAACATGCCAGCTCACTTGTTCCTTTTAATCAAGAGCATTTAGTCATTAAACTCTGTCAGCTTATCCACCACCTACTGAACCAACTGAAGGTAAGAAGGGTTACATCTGTTTTTAATCATATTGCGTCCAAAAATACATCGCCATTCACCTTCATATTTACTTTTAGGTCATAATGGATGAGCTGACATTAGATGTACTGATGAACTATGTAACCTGTGCACTTAAGAAATGCAGTACTTGGACACATTCAGATGTCCTGTTAGCATTGTCCACAATAGTATATGGAAATGGACCTCAGTGTCACCAGGTACCCACCCCCTCAATTTTTAGTGTAAAGTGAACAGAATTTTTCTTTTCTAAAAATCTTTAATAATGTTGTTCTTATTTGTAGCACCTGGAGAGCCTGCTTAGTGAGAATGGTATCCTTTTGCAATACAGCTCTCCCTCTCAACCAGATCTGGAGCTGCAACGTGTTTCTCTAAACTGCATGGCCAACATATGCCTCAGGTATGAAGTCATCTGCTTTGTTAAGTTGTTATAAAGCTATGTATTTAAATGGATACTTGCTTCTGCTATATAAGCTCCCTTTATTCACATTATAACATGTTGTTTATCTAGGATTCCTGGTCAGCCACCTCTAGATGAGCAGTACAGAGCTGTATGTTTCAGAGTTTTTCTGAAAACACTACAAACATGTAAACCTGCCAGTGCAGATGAACTCTTCTTCTGCATGGTATAAACAGCATTTGATAATGTACCGAAAATTTGGTGAATGTACTCACTTTTATTGTAAAAATATAACAGGTGCTTGTGTCTTGTCTAAAGGTTTTGCAGTCTGCACTGAAAGGACTTCAGTGCTGCTTTTCTGGTGGAAAGTGGAAATTTGGAGGAATGGAAGAGTTGGGAACAGTTCTTGCTATACTGAAGGTGTAAATTTCTTCAATATTACCCATTTATATTGTTTCTCTTGTCAAGCATTATAAATAATGACATTAATAATAACACAATATTTTATTACATTTACTATATGTTACAGCAAATGATGTTCCAGGGATCTCCAGGTGTGAGTGTGGAATGGCCGTCTGTGCTTTACCCAGCTCCTCTTCCACAGTACGAAGGACCATCATCACCAAGACAGCCTGAAACAACAAAGCCTCCAGAGATGTCAAAAAATGTCACTGGCCGAAGCAAACCGTCAGCAGTAAGTTGGTTATTGATTGTGTGTGTTTTTTTATGTTGTGTTGACTAGATTTTTTTTTTTTCTAAGAATAAAAAACGGAAATCCAGAGGTAAAGGAAAGAAAAATACCACTGAGGAGAATGAAGATGAAGATGTTGATGGAGAGATAACAAATAAACAAGAAGCTTTAAAGGAGCAATGTGCTGCTGAAAAAGAGAATACTGCTAAGCCATCAGCTCAAAATCTTTATCCTTCCTGGAAACAGACCAGTTCAGACTCCGAGTTTTCCGATCCAGAAGGTGGAGCTCAAAGCAAACTGCGGTATATGACACAAAAACTGTTTTAATGATCATACTCTGTTGATTTTATGCTCTCATTGTTTTCTATTTCTCAGGCTATATCATGGACGCGTGCGACAAGGGGCACTACTCTGTCTGTTGGCTGTAGTCAAAAGTGTTGAAAAGAGAACATTGTATGGCTATTGGTCTTCGTTTATTCCTGATTCGCCCATTGGAGGACCACCTCAGCTCACCCTCATTACAACAATATTAAAGGACCCCTCACCCAAGGTGACATATTTACTATTTCTTTAGTTTTAAGAATTTTAATTAATTTTAAGACCAACAGAAAAAGTGTCTCAATCTCTTTCCCCTTTGCTACTCAAGTGAAGTAACTGCCGCCTTATCTTGCTGTAGGTGCGAGCATGTGCACTCCAGGTCTTATCGGCCATGTTGGATGGGTCTCGACAGTTTCTTGCAGTTGCTGAAGATATAACATCCTCTAGACCATCTTATACATCATTTTCTTTTTCTTTGGCCACTGCAATCAGAGAGCTGCACCGGGCTCTCAGTCTAGCTTTGCTGGCTGAAATCTCCCCCCAAACTCTCACACAGATTATTAAGGTACACATATTTAATAATATGGCTCTCTGTACATTTTTTGACTGAGCTTATTTTGTTTAATTCAGTGTCTGGCATATTTGGTGACCAATGCCCCATACCACCGCCTCAAACCAGGTCTACTCAGTCCACTATGGAGGCAGATCCGTCCATATGTGCGTCACAGAGGTTTGTAAAAAATACTGATACTGATTATGTAAACCTAGTTTCCTTAAATTTTAGCTTTGATTGTTTAATATTTTTAATCTTAAAGCTAACCTTAATTACTTGTAATGGTGTTCACTATATTTATCTTGAATCTTACATTCTCTCCCAAAACTGTTCTGACACCCACAGTAAAACAAATATTGAAATATAACTCGTCTGTTTGTAGATGTGAATGTGCGTGTATCAGTTTTGACGCTCTATGGTGCTTTGGTGACCACTCAGGCTCCTCTCTCTGAGGTGCAGCTCCTCCTTCGACAGCCAGATGGCAGTAGCGTCTTTGGATCTTATACACCCCAAGACACCAGTCTGAGTTGGCGGCAGAGGGATGGTGTGTCTTCTTCAAGTTGTACACCAGTCAAACAGGACTCACACTCTCCTCTTAATTCGCACACACCAAAGGAAGAGGATAGCTCACCTCCATGGCTGCTGCAGCTGTGTGTGGCCTTGATAACACAACCACGAGAGAGCCAATCAGATAGTGAAGAGACTGGAGCCACTGTCCTAGAGCCCTCTCCTGTTCGTTTGGAGGCTTTACAGGTAAACTCGCATATGGAGTTGAATGTCCTCCATTTGTTATATTTTACAAATCCTGAATGTTTCTTTAATGTTTGTCCCTAAGGTTTTGTCTCATTTGGTTCGCGGTTACTTCTCCCTCTGTCAATCCCACCTGTTTGAGATAGGTCAAGTGAGTGCTTGGTGTCTTGGAGAGACTGACCCATCCATCCAGCTTCATGGAGCAAAAGTAATAAATTAGTTTTATTTTTCTCATAAATAGATGTTTTTTTATTGAAGTTATTATGCATTTAATATTTTTACAAAATGTTATTTTGCTTCTAGTTACTGGATGAGTTGGGGACAGGGATAATTCAACAATATAGACCAGAAAACAACATTCCTGAAAGTCAAAGAATTCCCATCAGCCAAGTACAATATTTATAACAGAGACTGTGTGGACATTATCAGTACTTTTTGTACTGCAGTGAAGTAACAAAGTATGTTTTTCTCCCCTGTGTTTTAGGTGGTGGCATTTTGGTCCGAAGTTCTGCGTGGACCGTTAAATGCAGCTTTGCAGAATGAACAGCATCCTACTCTGCAAACTAGTGCCTGTGACACACTCTCATCAATCCTTCCTCAGGCATTTGCACAGCTGCCTGTCAGTCTCAATATAATATTAAGTGGATTTAGTGAAAAGATGAAATGCAACACATGTATTTTGATGTTTCAGGAAAAGACACAGCTCATGTGTATCACTGTGCTGCTGGGACTGACCTACAGTGAAAACTATTTGGTGAAGACTGCAGCTGTTAGAGCTCTGGGTATCTACGTTCTTTTCCCCTGTCTCAGAGAGGTAATGTAGCCTATAATTATGTACAGTACTACATGAATATGCAGTTGTTCATTCACTCATTCATTCTTTGCCCTTTTAGGATGTGATGTTTGTGGCTGACACAGCAAACACAATCCTAGCTGCTCTTGAAGATCGATCTCCAAATGTCCGGGTCAAAGCTGCCTGGTCTCTGGGAAACCTTACAGACACACTAACTGTCAATATGTAAGTAACAGTCAATGCTCGTCATGTAACAAGTGAACTAACTTTACCTTAAGCATTACCTTCTTTTCTTTAGGGAGTCTGTGAGTGTGGACTTTCAAGAGGAGCTATCAGATATGTTGCTGCTTAAAATGCTGCAAACTGCAACTCGAGCATCATCTGATAAAGACAGAGTATGTTTATATTATTGCAAGAAAACTAAATAAAATTTTAACCTTTCATATGCTTACTATTTCCTTTTATTTCCCTTAGGTGAAGTCCAATGCAGTGCGAGCTTTAGGAAATCTTCTTCACTTTCTGCGAGAGAGTCAGTTGACACGGTCTGTGTTCAAACAGCCTCTGGAGGATGCAGTTCGTGCTTTGGTAAAGACTGTCCAATCAGAGGCCATGATGAAGGTCAGGTGGAACGCATGTTACGCCCTTGGAAATGCCTTCAGGAACCCTGCTCTGCCCCTTGGTAATGCAGTACGTTTAATATACAAGTTTATCCAGGTGTTTTTCTTATAAATTAAAGCCCTTGAGCAGAAAAATGCCACAATAGTTGTCGACTGTGAATTTCCATTTTTGATAAATTTTATGATTTGATTTGATGTATACTATAAAATAAGTTCCCACTTCCCGACATTAGACACTTAATGAATAGCCCACATAGCAGATGGTGTCACAACCTTAGAAAAATATTTTGGCACATGGCATGCATGTAATCTACATTTAAATACCTTGTAAAACCAGGAATAGTGTGGAAGAAGCAAGTTAATAAATTGTTGTTTGGCTGTTTAAGGAGGGTAACCCATAATGTCACAATGTATTTTTAGCAACTGTGAAAAAGTGCCATTGGTATTTAGTGAACAGGAGAAATATCTATTGTAAATTTATGTATGTTTTGTATTTTTCAGAATCAGCCTCTTGGTCTCATGACGCTTTCTCTGCCCTCTGCAATGTCATGACCTCCTGTAAAAACTTCAAGGTGCGAATCAAGTCTGCTGCGGCTCTGTCAGTCCCTGCACAACGCTGTTGCTATGGCGATACAGACCGGTTTATTTGTGTGTGGCACGCTTTGGCCACAGCCCTCGAAAACAGCGAAGACACAAATGACTTTTTAGAGTACCGCTACAGTGCCAGCCTCCGACACACACTATCACAAGCTTTGTTACATCTGCTTAGTCTGTCCCAAGTTGAAGACATGTCTGCCCTTGCCAAGTCCCTCTCAGGGGAGGAGGGCAGGGGCATTCGGGTGCATTTGGTGAAATATCTGAGAGCAGAAGAAGCAGCCACAGAGGGAGCAGAGGACGACAGGTATGGAGATAGTTTTACTCCTCAGCAGAGAGTCAAAGCCCTGGAGAAGACTGCAGAGAGACTGAGGAGGCTAGAGACTGAAGTTAACAAAGACACTGTTGTAGCTTTTCTGGAGGATTTGCTGAAGAGCTGTGAAGAGCCATAACACTTTCTCATAGCACTTTTTCACTTTGTGAAAAGCAGAGAACATGAATAAAATTATTATGTAGAAAATAAGTAACAATTAAAGCCGCGTGCGGCGATGGTGGCCCTCGCCCCGGGTGCGCACCGCCCCCCCACGCGACCTCCGGGGACTCGCGACCGCCCCGGCACGTCACCCTTTCTCCCCGACATCCGCCCAGGCCGACAGCTAGTCCATTAGACACATTACATAATGCACCTTTAAATATTTATAGGAGTCATTGCGCCCCTGCTGGGCAACAGTGGAAAATGCACCATGTCCGCTATTTATTTTTTTGCTCATAGTCATGCATAGAACTTATTCCCTGAATTTGGTACAAATGCAATAATGTGTACATGTCATGTATATGCTAGGGGGCGCTATAGTGTTAAATTTTCATATGTTTTATAGTGTATTATATTCAGGTCGTGATCAGGCATTAGTGATTCAAATTTCAGCACGATCGGACTAAGCCTGTGGGTGTAATAATTTTTTAACTATTTTTTCAGGGAGTCTTTGCGCCCCTGCTGGCCAAACGTGGAAAATGCATCATGTCCATAATGGACTTTCTTGCTTGTAATCATGCATAGAATTTAATCCCCGAATTTGGTCCAACGCACCGCCCCCCTGGCGAACGCTGGGGACTCGCGACCGCCCCGACACACCGCTCTCTCTTCCTGACAGCTCCCGAGGCCAACAGCTCGTCCACCAGAAAAATTACATAGTGTACCTTTAAAATTGGATAAAGTGAATGATTCTAGAGACAAACTGTAGACACTAAGCCACAGGTCACGTGACTTTAATGGTCAAGAGCACTGTCACACTAAGACTAAGTGCATGAAAACACATCCTCCACCAGAAAAGTTACATAGTGTGCCTTTAAATTTCTCAGAAGTGAAATTATTCTAGAGGCCAAAGTGTCAAACTAGGGCATAGGTCTTACTGACGTTTATGATGAGGAGTACGTCAGTGAATGTTTTGGCAAAGTTTTACAAATGAATGTAAAACTAATTTTATGTCACACAATAATAAATTGTGTGCATTCATATAGGTGGCGCTGTATCCCTGATAACTGTATTTGACATATCAATGGAATAAGGGTCATGCAGTGTATAACTGATAGAAATGTCATCACAATCGGACAAAACATGTGCATATAATAATTTTTACAATATTTTTTTGGGGATTCTCTGTGCCCCTGCTGGCCAACCGTGAAAAATACACCATGACTGTAATAGACATTTTTGCTTATAATCATGCAAAGAATTTATTCCCCTAAATAAATAAATATGTTTTATAGTGTATTATATTTAGGCCGTGATCAGGCATTAGTGATTCAAATTTCAGCACAATCGGACTAACCCTGTGGGTGTAATAATTATTTAACTATTTGTTGGGGGAGTCTTTGCGCCCCTGGTGGCCAGTGGTGGAAAATGCATCATGTCCGTAATAGACTTTTTTGCTTGTAATCATGTCTAGAATTTAATCCTCGAATTTGGTACTAATCCGATAATGTTGATGTTTGTCAATGCTAGGGGGCGCTATAGAGTTCATTTTTCATATGTTTTATAGTGTATTATATTCAGGCCATGATCGGGCATTAGTGATTCAAATTTCAGCACAATCGGACTAAGCCTGTGTGTGTAATTATTTTTTAACTATTTTTTGGGGGAGTCTTTGCGCCCCTGCTGGCCAATAGTGGAAAATGCACCATGTCCGTAATAGATTTTTTTTGCTTGTAAGCATACATAGAATTTATGTCCCGAATTTGGTAAAAATCCAATAATGTTGAAGTTTCACGTCTATGCTAGGGGGCGCTATAGAGTTCAGTTTTATTAAATTTCATATTTCATTACATTCAGGCAGCGTTGTGCAAGTTCACACTTTTTTTAGTTCAAAGTTCAGTTCACACTTGTTCAAAGTGAATAGTTCACGTTCATAGTTCACAATTTTAATTTTGAACTAGTTCAAAGTTCAGTTCATTTTATATTTAGATGAGATCTGTAAATGAAAGGCTGCATTTATTTTTCAAACTGACTTCTAGTTTACAACAACTTTACAAGATACACTGTTGGACAAGTGACTTTAAAACTGTAATGTGTTATTTATGACTTGTTACTGTCATTTCAAAGTCATTTGTTACATTACAATATTACTGTATTAAAAATGTAAAACATTATATGACTATTGCAGCACTTTTAATTTACTCTCACCAAAAGAACTGTTAAGATGCTGAACTTTTGCGCCGTATATGGACTGAATCCAGGACTGAACCAGGACTAAACCAGGACTAAACCAGAACTGAACCAGGTCCAAACCAGGACTAAACCAGGTCTAAACCAGGACTAAACCAGAACTGAACCAGGTCTAAACCAGGACTGAACCAGGTCTAAACCAGGTCTAAACCAGGACTAAACCAGGACTAAACCAGGACTAAACCAGAACTGAACCAGGACTGAACCAGGTCTAAACCAGGTCTAAACCAAGACTAAACCAGGACCAAACCAGGACTAATCCTGGACTAGAACTTGGAATCTAGGACCGCCCCTGAGAGAACCCCGAGTGCGATCGGGCATCAGCTGCGTTTATCTCGGTGGAGCGTGGACTTCTGCGTCGGTCCTTTCGCTCAGGAACACAGTCTACGCGGGCGCACCTCCGGCGTTTCACCGCTGCTGATATCGCGGTGATTTTAGCAAATTTGTATGAAGAAAAACGAAAAACCCACTGACATATGTACCAAGTAAAATAATATGCGCGCGGAGCAGCACGTCCTGTGCGTGTATTTTTCAGAAAATAGGATCCATTCTGTTTTTTGACGCTCTACACGAGCGTAGGCGCGTATCCCCGTCAAAATCCACAGAGAGCATGTATCTATTGTTGTATTTGCGCATTTACCATCAGCACATTGTGCTCCCTGGGCAGTTGTGTATCATGTGAAAGAGCCCAGATCCACATAGACTGTTAATTAGTGCTTTGAAATTTACTTTTGAAATCCTTGCGTTTGCCGTGGTCAGCCTGTACAAAAGGTAATACAAGCAGCTAAACGCGCCCAGTCAAGTTTGATTGACTTCCCATTGAGAGACACAAGAGCCCGTACGTTCCGCTAAAGCTGCCGGTGGAGTCGCCTTCGCGTTGACACGCGGCTGTGGTTTCGTTAAGTGCGAGCATGTCACTCGTCAGGTGAAAACAAATTCCGACGTTTAACTGAACCCCAACAGTGACGTACGTCGTTCATCACACATAATTTGAACAAATTCACGTTCAAGTTCTTGATTTACAAAAGTGTTGCGTTCAGTTCAAAGTTCACTGAAAAATGAACGTGTTCAATGAACGCGTTCTTTTGAACTCGTTCATGCACAACACTGCATTCAGGCCTGGGTCACGCAATTGTGGTTTGAATTTGAGTTCTGTAGGACAATGCCTGTGGCCGTGACAGGTCACCGAAAAAACAGTAAACGAAGGCGTTATTCGCCGGCGTGCTACGAGCGAACCGTAAGGAGTATCCCAAAAAAAGTTGAAAATTTCTGTGAGTTTATGTCTCTAGATGTGACATGTCAAATCTGAGCTCATTTGGACAAAACCCCGGGGACTTGAATCTTTTTGTAGACACCCAAGTCAAAACGGCGCCGAATTTTTGATCCAATACGGCCGACTTCCTGTTCGTCATAGGAGTGCACTATGATTGGGTTTTATGCTTGTCTCCTTGAGTTCTATCACTGCTCCGAATTTCGTGACCGTACTCCAAAATATGCGTCTGAGCCTCCCATTCATCTCAAAATTTTGAAATTTCAAGGGGGCGCTGTTGAGTGGGGGGGCTTTGGACATTGTCGCGATGCCCGTTTTATCGAATTTTTCGCCGGACCGGTCGATCTGGACCCCGGTTTGGGGACTTTTCGTCCATGTTCAAGGGGTCAAAAATGCGATTCAATGTGGGGAAAAAGAATAGTGAATAATAAAAATGCGATTCAATGTGGGGAAAAAGAATAGTGAATAATAAAAATAAAGAAACCGACGAAGAACAATACCCCTCGCCCCTAACTTTGTTAGTGGGCGAGGGCCAATAATGCACATTAATAAACATTAAGTTAGACTGTAAAACAATTAGACTTTTTAATATTATTTTAATAGATATACTTGTAATCTGTGTTCCAAACTTAATTTTTATTTTATTTTTTTTAACTCAGCTACTTTTGAGTAAGGCCTTTACTAATTAAAATACTAAACAAAAATGCTTCTATGTTTTCAATTAACGACAAGCAAAAATTGCTTTATTGTAATGCAGAATTAAATCTAAAATAAAAAATACTGTTTATCAAAATAAGCCTTTTTTATTAGAGTGGCCACCTCGTAAAAAATGAATTGTATGTTTTTGTCTTTATGTCACTGTAGTTCCTACTACCACACAGCAGGTGGCGCTGGGTCTCGGGTTTTGTGTTGGTGGAAGCGGATGTTGATGTAAATGTTTGCTCCGTGCTCACGTTGGAGGCTCACCACGCTGCTTTTTTCATGCCTTTTTTTGCGGGATGGACGCTTTTGATTTATTCCGAAAGCTTGGCTCTGGGGCTAAATTTGATCTGAAAAGATTTGGTCAAGATGCCGCACGGTTTAAGGTAACTGAAATGTTAAGGCTATACCTCTTTTAATCGCTGTCAAAGCTACTGTCGATGTCTTCTCGGTCTACCACATTTTAGTTAATAATTTAATTTTAGTTTATTTAAATATATTTTATCAGACTAGGAATATCATATAATTTCCCATTTTACTTTTACGATTCACGATTATTTCGCTTTTCAGTTCTCTCTCATTCTCTTAGACTAGGAAAGCTATTGATACAAGAGAAATTACATGGACACTCACACATTACAAAGAGCAAAATGTTAATGGTAATAACAATCCAAAAGATAATTTTTCCTGTAGTATTTATGACGGCTTTATGATAACAAAAAAAAGTTACACATAAACTTAATGTGCTTCGGAAATCGTTACGGTTATTACGATTATATTATGAATTAATGGATAATGTATGAATATTCTAATACAAAATACTGCTGCACTGCTGTAGGCACACAGACCCAAAGAAGCAGATGCCGCAGATCCTCTTTTTGCCATTGACTACTTTGGCAAAAGCTCAACCAACACCAGACAGCAGCAGGAGGAAGATGACCACAACAAAGATGATGCTGTGAATGCAAGTGAAGAAAGCGATGCTGGAGTTAAAAGAAAGAGGAAAGATGAACGAGCAGATGGCAAAACAATTAAGAACAAGAAGAAAAAGTCTGAAGTGGAATTTACAGGTGAGAAAAAAACAAACAATACAAAGGCTTGGAGACTAAAGCATTTTAACGAACTATCCAATACTTCTAGTAGTTTTATGCCTATCTATACTGCTCAACAAAATTAAAGGAACACTTTAAAAACACATCAGATCTTAATGTTAAAAAATATCTTGTATATCTATACAAATATGGACAGGGCAATGTCTTTGGAACAAAGGGATGCCACCTCTTTTTATGGAAATGAACAACAGGTGCACTAGAGTGGCAACAATGAGACAACCCCTAAAACAGGTAATTTCAGGTTTCCCCTTGTTCTTTTTTGGCTGGTTTTCCAATAGTGCTAGCTTTGGCTAGAGTGATTGTCACTATTGGGTGTGTGAGGCCATTCCTACACCCTACAGAAGTTGCACGTTGTCCAGTTTCTCCAGGATGGCCTCAACCCATCAGCAAAATTGATATCTGCTCCTGCAAGAAGTGCTAGAAGGAACAGACTGAGCACTGCCCCTGTCCTACAGAATGATCTCCAGCAGGCCACTGGTGTGTATGTCTCTGCCAAAACTATCAGAAACAGACTTCATAAGGATCACTTGAGGGTGCCATGTCCTGTAGTGGGTCCTGTGCTCACCAGCCAGCACCGTGGAGCTCCATTGGCATTTGCTACACGACACCAGAAGTGGCAAGTCTGCCCCTGGTGCCCTGTGCTTTTCATAGATGAGAGCAGGTTCACCCTGACCACCTGTGATAGACATAAAAGACTCTGGAGAAAACTAGGAGAATGCTATGCTGCCTGGACATGCTTCAGCATGAGCGGTTTGGTGGTGGACCTCACAATCACCTGACTTAAACCTGACTGAACACCTCTGGGACATTATGTTTGGGTCCATCAGATGCTTCCAGGTTACTCCTCAGACTCTACAGGAACTCAGTGATACCCTTACACAGATCTTGGAGCACATACCATGAGACACCATCCGTCACATCATTAGGAGCATGCCACGACATTGTCAAACATGCATACAAGCACGTAGGGGCCAATATTGAGAAGTATTTTGAGTTGCAGAAATTAAATTTAGGCAAAATGGACTAGCCGGCCCCAACATTATTTTGCTTTAACTTTCATGGTGTCTATACAAGTAACAGCCTCTGTAGGCCGAAAATTGTATTTCCATTAAAAGAGGAGGCATCCTTCATAACATTTATAACATTACCCTGTCCACATCTGTATAGATCAGTGTTTCCCAAACATTTTTTCTGGGGACCCATATTTTAAAAGTCACAAACCTTAACGAAGCCAGTCAATAGACATTATTCATAAATCACAAAATAAAGGTGATTATTAATGAAGGTGATTATTAATGTTCAATATTACCACTATTGAACATTAATGAGGATATTTTATTGTTGACTGAGTGATTGTGTCTTTCTGAACAATTAGTATTACTTAAGTTTTAAACAATGAAAAACAGTCATTGAACCAGCAATGAAAGGTATCCATAAGTAGCCTATTTGGACATTAAATGTAGCCCATTTCATTTTCTTTTCACCATCCAATTGAACCGTTCACTGACTCACTGGCTCTCTCATGTGTCAGAATTGTATATTGCAGACTTACATGTAGCTCATGACAAGGCGACTCAAAAAAAATCTCTTACGACCCACCTGAGGGTCGCGACCCAGTCTTTGGGAAACAATGGTGTAGATATTCAACTTTTTTTTCACAGTGAGATTTGATGTGTTTTCAAAGTTTTCCTTTAAATTTTTGAGCAGTGTATATTACTGCTATAGAGAATGCATATGTTTGAGTGGTCAGATCAATACATCTCAAACAAGCTGTGTTAATTACATAGCCAGATTTGTAGTATCCAACATTATCCCCCAATGCAGTATTGACTAATAGCACTGTGTTTTTATTATTATTATTACTAAATAAGCAGATATTGTGCTTGCATTCTGTTGTTGTGATGTTTGGTTTTACTTTATATGAAGAAGAAAAAATGTCAGAAAAATGTCACTAACTAGTTAGTTTGTATCTCTACTTGGAAGCTCTAAGTGAACATAACAAAGCTGCTGATGGAGAGGGAATTTCTTGGACATCAGATTTGGACAAAAGAATTCAAAGCCTGCAAAGTGGAGATAAGGATAAGAACACCCTAAAAAGGCTGAAGCATCTTCATCAGGAGAAGGTGCTCAGAGAAACAACACCTTTATTAATTATTTCCCTAACTTTCTAATGCATATATTTTTGTATCTTATTTTTAATTTTTTTGTCACAGGTGAATCGTATTCGCGCTCAACATCGTATAAATGTACACGGTTGTGATGTCCCTGATCCTGTGTGTACATTTGAAAAGCTTCAATCTGAATACAAACTTCAATCATGTATTCTTCAAAACCTCAAAGATGCAGGCCTCGATTCTCCCACACCTATCCAGATGCAGGCAATACCTCTGATGATGCATGTAAGTATAAACACACAAGGAGAACTATAATGACTATTTTTAACACATTTCACTGATTAGCATTGCTTCTAACAGGGTCGTGAAGTCTTGGCATGCGCCCCTACAGGTTCAGGAAAGACTTTGGCTTTCTGTTTGCCTCTGCTTGCAAATCTGCAGCAACCAGTCAACATAGGGTTCAGAGCTGTGGTCATATCCCCAACCAGAGAGTTGGCCAGTCAGGTAAACCAGTTAAATAAAAACACTGCTTAGTAACGCTACTAATGGCTGGTTTATTGTTTTGCATTTCAGACTTACAGAGAGCTACTTCGCTTGTCAGATGGAGTTGGATTTAGAGTTCACATTATTGATAAAGCTTCCTTGGCAGCTAAAAAATATGGACCACAATCCAGCAAAAAATATGGTATTTACTGTTTAAAATTTCAATTGTATATTATCAGGTACAGAAACTAATGTTAACTGTACATCTTTCAGACATACTTGTCAGTACCCCAAATAGATTAATCTACCTTTTAAATCAGGATCCTCCATCTTTGGACCTCAGCAGGTAATATTAAATCAATGTAGTTTTTTGTGTTTACATTACAATGACATTTATAGATTAATATATTCTGGCCTATAGTGTGGAGTGGCTTGTTGTGGATGAGTCCGATAAACTGTTTGAGGATGGTAAGAGTGGATTCAGGGATCAGCTGGCTACCATCTTTTTGGCCTGTTCTGGTCCAAAGGTTCGCAGGGCCTTCTTCAGTGCCACCTGTACGCCAGACGTTGAGCAGTGGTGTCGCCTCAATCTCGATAACTTGGTGACTGTCAATATAGGACACAGGTGAAGTATTGTTCCCTTTAGATCAAGAACTGTTTACTTATCAGAATGAAATGTGTATATTACAATGTTTCAGGAATACAGCTGTGGAGACCGTGGAACAGGAGCTACTGTTTGTTGGGAGTGAGGATGGAAAACTAGTGGCAATGAGAGACATTATCAAAAAAGTAAGAAAAAAAGTGACTGTTGTTAACACAAAATTCTGTGTGAATTTTTATCTAGTTTAGGCTTGATTTGCTTTTTATTATTTGAGTTTTGCTACCAAAATTATATTTTATTGTTTAGTTTTGTTTTTTTTCAGATGCACTGAAATTTAATCTTTTTCAGGGTTTCTTGCCTCCTATGTTGGTATTTGTTCAGTCTATAGAGCGAGCAAGGGAGCTCTTCCATGAGTTGGTATATGAAGGCATTAATGTTGATGTAATTCATGCAGACCGCACACAGCAGCAGGTAGCCCCTTTCCATCATCTGAGGCTTTCACAGGTAGATTATAAACTAATATAATGTGTTTTTTATAGAGAGACAATGTAGTGAACAGTTTTCGTTCTGGTCACATTTGGGTGTTGATTTGTACAGCATTGCTTGCCCGAGGAATCGACTTCAAAGGTGTAAACCTGGTACTAAATTATGACTTTCCCACCAGTGCTGTGGAATACATCCATAGAATAGGTGAGCTGCAAAATTGCTCTAATCATACAACATGGCAGTCATGTAAATTTAATCTTTTGTATTTTTATTTCTGTTATCAGGTCGTACGGGCAGAGCTGGCCATTCTGGAAAAGCCATAACCTTTTTTACAGAAAATGATAAACCACTCCTGCGCAGGTATGTGTTTATGTTCAAATGTGAGATCAGTACTCTAACTAAAATAAAACATTTGATTCTTTTTTTGTATTAAAAAGCATTGCCAGTGTTATAAAACAAGCTGGGTGTCCTGTTCCTGATTACATGATTGGTTTCAAGAAAATACACAGGTAATAATAGGAATTGTGGCATCACCAAAATTAAACATTTGTAGCAAACTACTTTTGTGCATTTCGTTTATTAGCAAAGTCAAGAGACAACTTCAGAAGAAACCTCCAAAGAGAAGCACCATTTGCACAACTCCACGCTTTTTGATGAAGAAAAAGCCAAAATCCACCCAAAAAGGAAAGAACGGAGCAGGAGGTGAAAGTGGATCTCAAAGCAGCATCAAGCAAATGATGACTGTAAACAACACGAAGAAACGTAAAAACCAACATGCACAGAAAGAAAGTGCAGCTGAAAGTGTGCAAAAGACTGGGTCAAAGAAAATGGCATCAAGGACTCAATCAAAAATTAAAAAGTAAGACAATTGTGTAATAGTACACCACCATTACACATCACTTTATTTTTTGTGATGCACTGTATAAAACTGCATATATATCCAACAGGAAAAAGGTGAAGATGCCACAGGAAACTTAGAGGGCTGCAAAAGTATTTTGTGAATATTACAGACATAAATTGAATATGTGTTTTGCTTTATTAATGGCTAGATATAAATAAACTTTTGTATGTAAATCAGTTTGTTGACATGGCATTTTATTTTTTCATGTTCATGAGATTGACATTGGTTGAATGGCACACTGAATTATAGTTTATGTACAGTTTATGGTATATAGATCCTTGGACAGGAACATTAAGTGACATATAGCAATATTAATTGCATTTATGTAGCCCCTTTCAAGATAGCCAAAGCACTTTACAGTTTATTGTTCATTAACTCCACACTCAAAGGTGACAAGCTACTATTGTAGCCACAGCTGCCCTGGGGCAGACTGACAGAAATGAGGCTGCCAATCTGTGTCATTGGTCCCTCCGACCACCACCAACACTCACACACACTCCACTTTCTTACTAAGGCAAGGCACTTAACTTACATTGCCAAGGACACAACGACAGTTTCTGCTACTGGCGCCCCACTGTGGCACCAGGACTTCCCAGTGATCTCCCATCCAAGTACCGGTACTATCCAGGCCCGGCCTTGCTTAGCTTCAGAGATCTGACGAGATCAGGCTTTGACAAGCTGGTATGGCCACAATAATCAAAACTCATTATAAAGCATAATTTACACTTAAAACTGCTTACAGTCCATTTAAACTTCCCACGTGTCCCCCATTCAACCACAACCTCGATTTAACTGATGTTCATTGATTTATAGCCTACATGTGATAAGGAAATATTCTGGGACAAAATATAACCTCTAAACGTCATTATCCATGGTCATAAGACAGTGACCAGGATTGATTACTTCTGACGGTGTATGGCGCTGTCGAAGTAAGCCGTTAAGTCACGCGATATTTCTGAAGTCTCGCCCATGCATTATACTTCTGGAAACCCCGGCTAGTCTTCCTTTCTCAACATGGCACCGAAGGTGAAGAAGGAAGGTCCGTAAATCTTAGAAAACCGAATGAATTTACTACTCAAAATACTTATTTTACATTGTTACGAATAAACGATTCACCTTTACAACAATGATCTAGCTTAATATTTACTGAATTAAACACTCAGACTGAAAGGGCTGGTCGAAATGATAGGTAAACGCCAAACGTGTGTGCGGCATGTATGGGGAACGTGATGCAAAGCTAGTTAGCACGGCAGCTATAATAGATCATGCCGTCTAAATAATTACCCTGTAGTAAAACATTTTTAGCTGTTTGCACAAGGATACAACCGCGTGTAAAATAATGGACATCCTGTTAACTATGTGGGTTTTTGTTTCTTGGCACTAGCATTTGTGAAGCGTTGCGTTGTAAGTGAATCAACTTTGATAATGAAGGTTCCACAATAAACTTCTAATGTCTTCAGAGGTTGCAGCATGTTAATTACTGGAAGTTTGACCATTTGAGGGCAGTAAGCTTTTGGCGTTGTATAAATTTGGCTAGACAAATTCAGTCTAAAGGCTGCTTGTAATTTTGGACTACAAGTTACCACTGGATGGGTGACAACGCTCTAGGGGTGTTTTGTAGGCCTACATGGTAATTCAATAATATTTGGCATTATGTTGTTCTGGCAGACAGTACTAAGATGTGGAGATTTATATGGTAAATGTACAGGATTTAGCTTCTCTTTAACGGTGGGTTACTTACTGTTTTCAGCTGTCCCTGCTAAGACTGAGGCCAAGTCAAAGGCTCTGAAGGCCAAAAAGGCTGTGCTCAAAGGCGTTCACAGCCAGAGGAAGAAGAAAATCAGGACTTCTCCCACCTTCCGTCGTCCTAAAACTCTTCGTCTCCGTAGGCAGCCCAAGTACCCTCGCAAAAGTGCTCCTCGCAGAAACAAGTAAGTTATTTTTTGTTTGTATAATGTACATTTTTAGCAAATGATGGTTTAAAGCGATCAAAGTATGAGCATTTTTGATTCCAACTTGTATATACTGATGCTGAGTATTAGATTTTCTGTCTTGATGATTAGTTATGATTACTAATTGCTTGTTTTAATTAGGTTGGATCACTATGCCATCATCAAGTTCCCCTTGACAACAGAGTCCGCAATGAAGAAGATTGAGGATAACAACACACTTGTATTCATTGTTGACGTCAAGGCCAACAAACATCAGATTAAACACGCTGTTAAGAAGTTGTACGATATTGATGTTGCTAAAGTCAACACGCTCATCAGGTAAGGAGGAAATGACATCAGTGACAAAGGCTGGTCAATATGTTGCGTCTTTTTTTCCTTCTATTGATATGCATTTTGTTAAATACTAATCAAAAACAATTACTTTAAGAATATTTAATGTACATGTTCAAGATCGACTATAATTGTTGTAATCTTTTGTAAAACAAAATTGTTGTTTTTCCTAAGGTGCTTTTTCTGGTCAGCTGTAAACGTCGCTGATCATTGACTATTTGATTTACAAATGAATCAATTGCCCAGCCATGTCACATTAATTTAATACAGTAGAGATAAAATTAGCCCAATTGATGGGTATTTAAACATTTCTCATTGTGTTTAGGCCGGATGGTGAAAAGAAGGCATATGTTCGCCTTGCACCTGATTATGATGCATTGGATGTTGCAAACAAGGTATGTCCCTTTTCTATGACTTGCATCATTAATTCATTTTGGGCACTTTAAACTATGCCTGTATAATGTGCAAAGGATGTAAACTTTTCTTGTCAGAATGTCTGTGATGTCATTCAAAGGAACCACTGATGCCAGATAATGGTGCTGTGATTACTGTCAAACTGCTGTGAATGTTGATTGGTTTTTTTTCTTTCTTCCCCCCTTCTCAACAGATTGGCATCATCTAAACTGGCTCTAGAGATGTGGAATAAATATTTGTACAAACTATCAGTGTTTGTCTTTTCTATCTTAAAAGCTCATCCATAACTTGTGCTACACACATCATTTATTTCTCTTAGGCTTTCACAATACAATAATGAAGATAGTGTTGGATGGAACTATTATTAGGGCTGCAACAAGTTAATCACAATTACTACTCAACTAATCTAGTAGACATTGACTTCTGGACTATGCATACTCAATGTGCCATGTGTTGAAGCAGTTTTATGGCTCAAAGCAAGAATTGCATTAGGACATAGGAAGCATGTGCATTTCATGTAGGTGGGAAAATCTGTAAATCATAATTGGCATGGCCAAATCTTTATTTTTACTGAATTACAGCTAGGTTTAGCCATAATTAAAGATTTGATAGGAAAATGGTCATTAGTTGCAGCACTATTAGTGCTACAAAATTGCACCTGTTTAACCACGTCTGTTCGGCATCAAAGACACTAAGGGCAGTTTAAGTGCTTTATTCACGAAAATGCACTAAGGCCTCAAGTCACAAGCATTCACCATAACTAGCTGGTTTAAGACATTGCTTTAACATTCAACTATAAAGAGCAAATCTTTATGAGAGGAAGGTTCGGACAGTGCCTTTAACCAGGCCTCTGCAGATTGGGCACTTGCGCAATGATGGGGCACACTCTTTGCACACCACCAGGTGTCCACATGGAATAAAGACAATGTTGACCTCTTTATCCATGCATACTTTACAGGTGCGCTCCTCTTGCAAACGACGCAGCTGTTCCTCCATAGGAAGGTCTGCAGATGAACAATTTTGTTTTAGGTAATTGAGCTGTTGTAATGAGAGGCTTTCCTGAGGTGAATTTGGCTTTACCTGACAGGTCTTGACTTGGTGATACTGCTTCATTAGATTGGGCTGGACAGAAAAAAAAAGTTGAGAAAAGATGAGAAAATCCAAAATGTATTGAGTGAGTCTGTAAAACTAGACAAATCTCAAGTACCCATCAAATCTCTGAGTAGATGAACATCATTTTTTTGGATCCAGTTTCTGAAAACCTCCGCTGCTGCATTGCCTTTAGTGAGAACCAGCTCTATCAGCCTGGCGGTTTGTTGTTGTGCTGATGTCTGGGCCTGGAGACCACTGTATTCCTCAGCAGCTGCATAATATAGCAAACAAATTACTTTAATACTTGGCCAAATGTTGGGATCCCAAGCTCAATTGTTAAAAGTACGTACTGAGAACATTCTGGTCTCTTAAATGTTCGAGAACTGGCTCCACAGTCTTCAGCCGCTGGACCAGTGAAGCTTGGTGCCTCTTCACAAACGTGAATCCATCTAACAAGCATGCCAAAAATGTGTTGAATAAACATGCCATTACAGACTACATACAACTAGAAAATTGTTCCAACCTGATGCCATGGCCTCTGCTAACATCTCTCGTTCCTCTTCTCTTTTCTGGTCCTCAGCACTCAGCAGGTCAGACACCAGCTCCTGTACAGTTCGGTAGTTTTCTCCACTGGTCAATATTTTGCTTTGTACGGTTTGTTTGACAAGGCTGCGCTCAAAGCCCATCTCTAGAGCTGATTTAATGACGGGAGTGTTCATCATAACTGCGTCTTCAGAGCGCTCCTCTCCAGGAGCCAAGTGAACCACTGTGAGAAGAGATTTATGTTTGATGCATTTTTTTTATATTACAATTTGGTAGAATGCAAAACCAGCCAAGTCTTCGACCTACCAGGAGGGTCCACAAACTCTCTGGAGCCATCTCCATTAGTCAACAACTTTTCAAAAGAAAAAAGTATTTTAGATGACTATTTTTCAGAGGATGTGAAAAACTATTTCTTACCAACCTGTTCAAACAGCCGAGGAAATCGAGCCTGAATTTGGTGAACAAAATCCTGACCCTTTTCCTGTAGCAAGTATTCACATCTGCAGAAAAACAGAATGACAATTACACAATTACATTAGTCTAAAGCTACAGGTGCATCTGTTTTGGAAATACGCAAAACATTTTGATTTGTTTTTACCGAGGAAACCACTTGGCATGTTCAACCCAAGGATCATCTCCTGATTCCCAACAGCGCAGACCGCCATCGCAGCAGAAACACTTCACATCATCATTGCGCCCTGAAATGGTCAAGTTAAAAATACAGTTTTTCACATAGCTCCATTTACTGAAACACCATCAGATGGTATACCAACAGAGTGGAAAAATCTTAGAATTCCATACCTACATAGTAGAAACCAGCATTAGCCAGCTGGTCAGGCCGGACAGGGATACGTGAGGGCCAGTTGACAAAGGTAAGCAGTCTCTCCTCACTTTGGGCCATGGCAGGATTCGAAACATTGCTGAGGGCTGATGCTCCTGCTGAAAGCTGCTGTGTGACTGCTCCTAAAGCAGCGGCAGAGGCCAAAGACACATTGTCTGCTCTGTCGCCTCTGACATATCGGCAATTTGGGTAATGCCTTTGGTGTTCAGACACAGCTCGGTCGCCTGGTTCCCAGTTGCTCAACTGCTAGACACAAGATTACATGATTATTTGATCTTCATTTATATAGTATATTATAAACAGGTTTCAATAATAAGTATGATTGTCACCTGTCCTCCACAGCTGAAGCAGGCCACTCGGTCACCCTGACCCAGGTAGTAGAAGCCTGCTTTGGCAAGCTCAGCCGGAGTGATGACTTTGACAGTCCAAGTATGGAAGGAGTCCAGGCGGTCCTGCTCCCGGCGCATGCTGGGGTTGTGACACGTGGGCCTTTGATGGGACATGTCTTCAACACCACGGGAGCTGAGAGGACTAGAGGGAGGCAGCGCAGAAAAGCCCATGTTTAAATAGCCTACTGCCTCTTCGCCTTGGCTGCCAGATGCATTTGGAGCGGCTGGGCCTGGGCCAGGGAGCTGCCAAGAATGAGAATGTTCAGAGTTTATCGCCAAACTATTTATTGGTAAACTGTCACTGTTTGATAACTTTGTGAGCACATTGAGAATACAATGAAAGCATCTTAAACTTTGTTCCCAACAATTTGCAGATATTCTTAAACAAATTCCTCTGACAGACATTGTGTCTATGTATTCATGCATCTTACAGGAAGGGTTGGCGGGATGCGGAGAGGAGAGAAGGCTGAGTGAGAGGATGACAGCAGATTGGCGGTTGGAGGGAGGCTCTGGATGAAGGAGCAGGACGGAGACAGCTGTTTGTGTTTCTCCGTGGGGCAGTCCCCCGGCTGCCAACCTTCAGCGGTCACACTGCATCTAAAGCACTGCACACGGTCCCCCACTCCAGTGTAAAACCAGCCTGCTCGTGCCAAACTCCGCTCAGTCACCCCTGAGGATGGGAACCGGGCAAAACTGGAAATGCGGAAGAGCTCTGGAAGGACATTTTCGACATTTTAGATGCAAATACACCTTTTAATAAAATTTTTAAATCGAGCATTAAAAGGTACCTGAGGAGTTGTCATATTGTAATTCAGGTGGTGGTCCATTTCGACACAGGCTCATCAAAAATTGGTTGTTTTTGAGTTGAAGAAGTGTGTCCATTTAAGACTGGTTTAATACTGGGCAAAAGGGATGTCCATAAGAAGGGAGAAAGGTTTGAGAATATCAGACCTCATTCACTCACACACAAAACTGTTGATAAACATAACTGATGAGAACTGGCTGAATAAAAGACATACTTAAGCCCTTACAAAAAAGTCTACTTATTCAACATCTAAATCCAGTAGCCTAAAGGTCTCTGTACCACCTTCATATACATCATCACCAAACAGAAATATGTTCTTTTACTGTAGTTTAAAACTGCCCTGTATCTCAATCACTTCAGCCTGGATCCATAAACATGGCATTAAAACTTAAGGGAAACATATTACCAAAGCATTCAAACTCAAACATATATGCAGTAAAACAAAACATACTGTAACTTAATAAAACTCAGAGACTTCACAACACACACAAACCAAATGGATATGTGCTCTCAAACCCCTCCCCCCAACAGGACATCCCTTTTGAAGGTGTCTAAGCCGCCATAATGAAATAGAGAAACACCAAAATGAAAATAGTTAGGTCCTTTGATGGTTATAGTGAAGATGTGGGGAGCTCTCTTTTGCCTATGGAAAAACAAAAGGAAATATGATAAAAGATGAAAATATTTTGAAGGAGCAAAAGATTTCTAGAATATTACAGCATCTACTTTCTTTGTGATAAGAAGTGTATATTTTCATATTCATCTACAATTCACCAATACCAATCCAGATGTGCACACGTTGCATAAATTGTTATTACCATGTAAAACCATGGCAGTGGGTTATTAGTGCTGTTGTTACGCTTCTGACCAATGGGTGCTGAGGTACTTTCCAGGTGATTCTGGCATTATGACTCGGCGCTTGAATCACCATTCCTCGTGATTTAAGGGCATCTACACGTAATTCACTCTTGATCATCTGACCGTACGACCAGTGTTCAAATAGTGACTGTTTTCTTCATCCTACTTGCGAGCGACTAAAGACAGACAGAGCTGTTATTGTAATTGTTAGCAATAGCTAACAACGATTGCTAAGATTTTGTCTGCTGATTTGAGCACTCAGCTATAATTCTATATTCTATAGTTTATCAATATATGTTTAACATACAATGAGAAATGCACAGCGTAAATCACCTTAAATGTGAGTATTTCCCTTTGAGGAGCACTTACCGTAGCGTAATGTCAGGATGAAGGCGGAAAGTCCCCTTTCTACAGTCAGAAGATTCCAGATTATACTTCCGGTTCCGCCCGGTCAGGCAGCGGAGCCGATTTCACAGCTCTGCTAAAAAAATAAAATAAAAATAAATTATTAATAAAATATTACAGTGTTCTACCGCGACATTGCATGAGTACCAAGGACGTAAAAGGCTGTCTCTCTCTTTGTAGTCACTTCCAAATAGTGTTTTCCTTTACAAGAGCAGTCAGGTGTTTGCTCGACAACCATTAGTCTAGTATAGTTGGAGTTACTTCATCACGTCTATCCTTTTGTTTTGTATAGACTAGAGTGCTTAAAATTACAAACAAACCCGTTAAGAGTGTACTATTGTGTGGAGGTTAAACTGGCTCAAGAAACAGTATTTTTATATCATAAAAACAGCACCCAAGGTGGTTGTACATTTCCCTGCAAGCAGAAAATATACTGACACGCATTAAAATGTTTAAATAATTCAATACTTACAGACAAGCTGTTCTCACAGGGCAGCTGGAACAGAGTAAGAAGGACTGACGCATTTGAAACAGGTTGAATTGTATTTAGCCTAAAAGGAAATGGGGTTTCCCTTCTGCGTAAGTACTGTACTGCCCTCTTCTGAAGTCCCCTAGTGTCATTCACCAGTACAGAAACTGAAGAGGGTTTTCACGTTAGTCATCAATTACCATTGGGCAGGGGTGGAAAGTAATTGACAAATACAAATAGTTGAATTTTAAATCTGTACTTGTAATTGAGTATAATTCTAGCCATGTAATTGTAATTAGTTACATTTCTAACCATAGAAGCAGTACTCCACAAGTCCCAATTATACCAATCTTCTGATGTCTCACTACTCCTTTCTATACCTACAAAGTAACACAGAACAGCTCCTGCTTTGATTGGCCAGAGCTTAAAAAAAAACAACAATATAGATTCTGGTTTAATACCACAAAGTTCAGATTTACTCTTTAAATCAATCAGGTTTTGTATAAAAGCGTGTAAAATGTTGTTTTTACTACTACTACTAGTAGTAATACTTCAGGACAGTTTTTTCCTCATCAATATAAAGCAAGAACCTCTTTCAAGTAGGCACCAAGTTTACATATTATTTTCTTTTTTCAGCTTGAAACAGTAACACAAACTTATATTTTGATGGGCACTCTGAATAAAAAATTAGGATGTACTTCCCTCAGAGTTTCATCACTGTGTGCATTCAAACAAAACATGAAATTCATCTCCTACTATTTAGACATAAATTACAAATCCCTATTGATTTTTTCAGACCCCAGCAACCTCGGGAATCCAGTACTCTTTCCACAACTCCTATTAAGTCTACTTCACAATTCTCAAAGTATCCAATTGTTAATATTGTATTCACGAATAATATAGAGTTTTATCAGCACTTATCAATTAAATCAAAATCAAGATCTTGAAAAGAAGCTAACCAGTCTTGGTCTAATGTGTAACAATGAGTACAATGACCAACTATTTGTGCAGATAAATAAATAGACAGAGAATCAACATTTCAGGTGTGTTTTTAAGTTTATTAAAACAGAAACTCAAAATTATTATTGTAGGAGTGGAAAATATATATATATATATATATATATATATATATATATATATATATATATATATATATATATATATATATATATATATATATATATATATATATGTACTGTATATATATAAAGCACATGCATAAAAAGGTAAAAAAAAAAAAACTTTTCTGATAGCCTCCCAACTCTGTATACAATTAAAATGTAATTACATTTAACATCCAAAGCAAGTGTCACACGTTTACAAGATAAATAAAGTCTTGAGTATCCACGTGTCACGTGAGTGAGCTGTATGTAGAACCACAGGATTAGCATACTGTAATTACACAACAACCAGCTCTGAATATCTTTACACAATATAAAAGGAAGCTCATAAAAGAAATGCTCTCACCAGCTGGGCAACACACAACTTCAAATCCAGACAATGTTAAAAACCATAAAAACACACAGCAAAAACATCCCAGCACAAAATGTTGATTATATTAGTTTAGTTTTACATTACATTTTGTTTATCTGAAACACAAAAATATCTTCATTAAAAGGCAACAGGCTTCTGTTAATTGCTATTTTGTTCTGGCACTGTTAAAGTGTTGATAACCTGAGCTAAATTATTTAATCAGAATTATAAAAAGGAGTTGTCAAATTCATTGCCAAAAAACATCATAGCATTTTCACATTTGGTGTAGACTATTTTCATTTTTATACACAACATAATTTTTATACACAACATAATTGTCACCAAAGATGACTATGCTGTGCTCTTCTGCCTTCGAAAGTCCACAGCAATTTAACACAAAGATAACAGGGCTTATATTTGACACTTATGCTCAAAAACTTTTTCATCCCTCTAATGTGGATACATTGTCTTTGAAAAATGTTTGAATATCAAAACAAGGAATGTATCAAACTAATAGTGGGGACAACACATCTGAGAGGCTGTAGTTTTTTCACCATGAGCTGGACCCTGTACAGTCCAAAAAGCACTATAGGATAAAGGAAACACATATTTCAACAGAAACAAGATACTACTACTTGGTAAGTTTTGGAAATACCAAGCTACATGAGTATCAACCCAATATTACATACCATAATACAAGACTTGTTAATATTATTTTAGCTTTTGAATAGATTCAAACACTGTTTTAGATTAAAAGAGCAAAAATCTCTTAGTAAAAGGCACATTTAGCAAGTAAAGGACACTAATCCATGTTGTTAGCTTATTATATATTGAGATTTCTAGGTAAAGCCCTACAACCAAACTTTCTTTTTCCTTAAATTTTGATATTTCAAGTCAAAGGTCATCTTTCTTGTTCCCGAAACTCATACATTTCCCCACAAGGGTATGTGCACTTTAGTGCATATAAAGTGAAAGCATTTTCAATTATAGTGTCCAGAGATGTCACAACATAAACTTGTAGTGAAGCTGTCTTATGTAGTGTCTTTAAAGAAGTTACATTGCTTTTTCCACACTAAACAACTTTTCAGTTACTTGCTTCATCCAAGAAAAAATACTGGACTAAATACAGAAGTAAAGCTGGTTTATCGACACCAGGCAAGTTTTTAACTTGTCCTTTTTGTGAGGTCTTCTTTATCTTTTTTTTTTTTGCTGATGGGAATGGTAAAAAAAAAAAAAAAAAAAGTGTAAAATTCACTGCTTTGGTGAAGCACCTTCTGAAGCCAAAAGATGAGTATCACATTATATTGTGAATGCCTCATATTCATGTAAAATGTTTCCAAAAAGGGCTGAATACTTGCAGCTTACCACCTTCTGTAATAGTCCCATTGTCCATTTAGTCTGACACTGCTTACATATCCATCAGAGTTCTTTCCATGCAATGTTGCTCTGTACCATCATATCTTCCAATATCTCAGTCATGTTGCAAAAATATAATCTCAAACCATGTGGAGGGCTGGTGAGGCGTGTGGTGCCTATAGCCAAGTAAGCAGGCTGTCCCTGTCCATGTGTGATCCAGAGAGGACCGTCTCCATGTCCATCAACAGGTCTGAGCTCAGACCCATCAGCTCATCGCCCTCGGACATCGGCAGCACAGGTGGCATAGACTCCTGTAGAGTCAGTGAAGAGCTCTCACCAGAATCACCTGGAATGGTAGTATAAGCATAGAGTCAACTATAACATTTGAGAAAAATGTTGACAAATAAAGATTGATGGGAACAAATCAACTATGTATGTATTTTGGTGTATTTTCCTCTACAAGTAAGCAAGTATTCTATTTATATAAATGAACAGAGAAGCCATAGTATATATGGAGGATAGAGGAAGTTATTCCCATGCATTCTTGATGCCATTGCTCTAAAATTTAAGATGCAAGAGAAACGTGCATGGATCACTCAAAATACAACTGTGTGTGTAAACAATGAGAAGGGAAGACAATTATGACATGGTTAAAAGCTTTAAAGTAAAGTTTGCATCATATGTCTCCTTGTCAGCATTAGAAGAGCAGATACAGTACTTATTTTGTTTTTAAGTGTGTGAGCAAATTTTCTCTATCCTACACAGTGTAAATGTCTAGTTATACATCTAGTTTCATAAAACCCATCTGAAGCATCTACCATTTCAGTCATATCACAATAGTGCCTACTGTGTGGTGAAGTTTTCTACCAGATACAACACAATAATTAGTTTCTTTATGAAGTAGGAGTATAGGATGTGTTCTGCAGTTGCCTTGAGTCTATATTGTAACAGTTGTTTTACCGGTGTCCATGTGGTCCACTGGGCTGAGCATGTGCTCTGTAGTGCGCGGGAGGCTACTGACGCTGAGGCCACTGTCTGTGCTTTCATTTCGAGAGTGAGCCCTTAAATAAACACACACACATAAAAACTATCAGAAAGGCCATAAGGTATGAACTATATATACAGAAACAAACATACACGGTTTAATGCCTGATGGATAGATTTAACCATTGAAGAACTGAAAAGAGGGACAGAGTGAGAACAGACAAGGGCTCATTTTTGTACAATCAAAATGCCTTGGGCTTGTCAGAAAGGTCTGTTCCTTCTAAAGTTGAAAAACAATAGGTCCGTGGACAGTAAATTTACATTAGCATTTATTCAGCACTGGGATAACTGGAACTCACTGCACAACCAATGAATTCAAAGTATCATTTTATGAAACATGTGCCATGTTGAGATGGACAGTCTCTAAATTGGAGACTATCATCTCCCTTTTTACCCGTTCAGTGTTGGCTCATGGTTTGAAGCTCTGATCCGGACGTCCAGAGGAGGTACAAGAGTCTGTGTGTTTCTGTCATGGTCCATTCCACCGGGCATTCTATTCCTTACTGCTGCATCCTATACCAACATGTGCAAAAAACAAATACATTTTCAAAATTCAACTGGTTTTAAAATCTCTTGCAGTAACAGCCTAACCTGTGTGGTGACTTGCTGTTTACACCGGAGCCTCTCGTTTTCCTGCCTTTGCTGTATTGCCAGGCTAAGGAGCCCAGGGTTCATCTTGGCTGCAAAAACAATTGATCCACATGATAGCATTATAATAATACCTTTAAATAAAGAATACGTTTTCCACACTTTGCGGTGTTACTTTACTATTGTTGCAACTAGTGGTTGTGGACAATGGAATAAACTGCTTGTTATAACAATAACTAACAAATCTTCATATATAAATTTGATAGTGTGCTACCTAGACGCGGGTCGACCCATGTGGTGATCTTATTTATGTGATCGATGTAGTACACCTCTCCATCTCCAGTCACAGCCTGCTCCCAGCCTTCAGGCAGAGGACCTGAACAGTAACACAGTGAGTGAATATTGTGTATGCAGTGCATTGTTAATAATTTAAGGTTGAATCAGGCCCACGTCCACTCTCCTGCATGTCTGTGCCATGTGCTGTTGTCATCTACCATAATGAAAATGTACAATATGGGGAGTACAGATACGGTGGAGAAATGAAGACAAATATGACCTTAAGACATATGTGTAATAAGGTCTGTGTCAATAAATTAGAATATTGTGGGAATATTTTTGTGACATACTCAAAAATAATAAAGGTAAAAATTTTGTAGGTGAAATAAATAAATAATCAACATGGCACAAGTAAGTTTTTCCCCACAATATTCTCAGTTATTGACATGCATCTATAAAGAGGGCAACAATTGAGCCATCTTAACTCTGTGTGTAAGAATAATATAAACAATAATACAAAGTAACATCAAAAATAAATATCTCCCATTGCACTTAAAACTCGGATTTTCTTTATGGTCTTCGTTCATAAAATAAAATAAAATCCAGGTATTTTCTGTGTAGATAACAAACCATAAAGATGCAGGACAGAATGCAGCAGGTACCTGTCTCTGGGTTGATGTTTTGAGGTTGCACAGAGGGAGCGGGGTTGCTGAGTGAGTGTGAGTGGGATGGGGGCACGGCGGCAGATAGGGGGTGCTGAGGTGCAGCTGTCTGATGCTGCGCCAAACGAGGGTCGTGCCAGGTAGTAGTCTTATCCACGTGACTATAAACACACACAAAAAACAAGTCTGAACAAAAGTGAATGTGAAAAGTCACTGCAACCTGACGGGTAAGGAGTGAGTGAGGCTCTGTCACAACCTGCTTTACCTGTACTACCAGATGTGCATGTACATCAACGCACATATGGGGAGGTAGCTTTTGAGAGCCAGTTCTTATGAATGGAATAGAGTGCACTGATTTTAAAAACTAATTTAGTATAATTATCTCTTTCTTGCTACACTACAGAAAAAGGAAAAGGTTTGGTCAATGCATGTAAGTCTGGTTATCTTTTGCATACCCTTTATATCTGTGCATGTATCAATATATATAAAAAAGTTTCAATAATTGATCACAAAGACTAAAGTTTCAAACACTTACTCTACTGTGTGCAGTGTATTGCTCATATATAGTTCCTTGTCCTAATGCAAATACATAATATCAGGTAAGGTAATTGGTGACCCTAAATTGCATTAGGGTGCAATATTTAAGGTGAATGAATGTATGTCTATCAGTCTACCTGTAAAATTTAGTGTATTGTACTATCTACTGACTTACTTGAGGAAATATCGCTGTCCGGTGGGAGTTTTGGCCATCTCCCATCCGTGGGGCAGGGGGATGTCATCGGGGATGATCGGGGCAGTTGTTACATCCGCCTGCGGGGGCAGGATGGCAGGGGAGGAGTGGGCGCGGACGTGACGTGGAGGGAGCGTGTTGGACACACCTCCATCTGAACTGGCCTGACGAGAAAACAAGCAGGGTTAGCAACTGACATGAAACTACTACTGACTCCTCACAACCGCTCACCAAAGGGACCGGAAACTCTTGGAAGGATAAAACTATCAAGAGGAAAAAAAAAAAACAACAATCACTGAAACCTTCAATTCACAAGTGCTATTGTTTACTTATGTGGGAGGTTTCAGATTAGCTGTGCCAAGGAGGCCTGGCTGACTCACCACAGTTCACGTTTCTGATAGACTTGAAATATAAAATTTGTAACCGCATTACTATATTTGACATGTTACATACTGTAACATGTCAAATATAGAAACGTTACCCCAGAATTAATAGTACTCCATGTCTCACTCCATAGTCGGGTATCACATTTTTTACTATTGTGAGGGCCAGCTTCACTGAAGTTCAGCCTTTATCTTTTTTAAATCTCAGTTTGTTATAGATATTAAATGTACATACTGTGATGGATTATGGATTCATTTTATAATATATATATATATATATATATATATATATATATATATATATATAGAGATAGAGAGAGAGAGAGAGAGAGAGAGAGAGAGAGAGAGAGAGAGAGAGATAGATAGATAGATAGATAGATATACATACTCAAACTATATTGTTCAAATAGTAATGCCTTTAAAATGCCTGACATGTGTCTAAGCTTTATCCACATTTCATTTCTGGAGAGATTTTTCAACCTGCAGCCCCCACAGAGTCAGACAGTAGCCTTAACCTTGAGGCAGTTACAATATGATATTTGAAACATCTGTCAGCTTTGTTCAGATGGTGTGCACACTGGCTAAAGTGACCTATCTGAGAACCATTCCCATGTGAGCTCCACAAAATGAAAAGTTGCCTGAAAGGAAAACATACTTCAGCTCAGTACTAAAGAAAACAATTAGATGAAATGAATCAGCAAATTACAATTCAAAAAACTGACATATGTAATAAAAAACATTATTTAAAGCTCAGAGGTATATATATTACACCATTAACTAACTGCACACCAATATCAAAGTCTTTTTGACACATTTAGTAGATAATAGAGACACAAATATATTATTATGATATAATTAAGAAGTCCTATACATTGCTAAATCTTATGAACATGTAATAAGCCTACTGCAGGAGGTTTCAGTTAATGATGCTCCTCAACATGCAGTCTGGATTAAAATGAATGGATGGGAACTCAAAGCACCCGCATTCTACTATGATAACTTTAATTAAGATGAAATAAGTGATGTTTAAACTTGGTAAGGAGTTTTTAGTAAAAAGAATTCAATTGTTTTGCCACTGAGAAATTTGTGTAGTGTAGTGGACTCACTTGTCTGGAGTGGCCTCGCGGCTCGGGTTGTGTGAAAAAAGATTTGGGGAGTTTCCGGTCCTTCATGGGCACTGAGGTCGGCTGCCGCTGCGCTTTGCTGGGGTTCATCACGGCGTTGAACAGGGCCTCCAGCTCCGTCTGCGAGTCACCACGGACATGCACGACCTGCTGCCCAGCTGGAGGCGCGCCGTAGTGCCCGTCCATGTTGCCAAAACTTTTGGGAGTCCAGACAAATCTGACAAAGAGAGCAATTACGCACAATAAAACAACAAAGAGAAAGTTAGAATACGAGTAACAAATGCGGGCTTTGGTTAAGATGATCGATTTTGTTTACACTTTCGCCCCCGCCCCCACCCCAGTTGAACTTTTCAGCGACGTTTTAAGTCTATTTCTAGCAACAACACTCCTGAAGTCAGTCAACTGAAAAAAAACAGTGAAGCTTTCAAAAAATAGTTGAAAAGTTAGGTTTCTAAATGTGGGTGGTGAACTGAACCCAATCTGACCATAGTAAAGCTCGTTACGGACTTCCACATACCTTCAAGCAGACAGAACGTTTCCCCCCTCTCTGTCTGTCTGTCCCACCGCTGAAAAAACTTGGAAAATCACGGGCGCTCACTCCGCAGCCCGCGGCCCACAGCAGCCTCCACGTTCAACCGAGCAACAGCTACACGCGCAATCATAAGGGACTGGTAAGAAAAGTGACTACAGCGAAACCTCAACAAACTTTTTTCATGCGCTCATCAACTGCGAGTCCAGATTCATGTGATAGCGCCGAGGGGCGGGGCTGAGGGTTTAAAGCTGCGCCGCAGTTGCAGGGCAAATATTTCACCGAGGGCAGACTAAACTCAACCCAGACGCATGGAGCCCTTATCCACCTCTATCCGCGTTTACCAGGAGTTTTACGCACTCCTTAAGTGATCGTGTCTAAAATGGAACTTTCTCAGTTATTTAATTTGGCATCTTGAATTGCAAGGACTCAACCAGATTTTGGATGTAACTATGGTGTGTGTGGTAAACTGAAGCGCACTCGAGGAGCTGTGTCGTTTTGGGTTGGTGTCGGTGTGGGGCTGCTCTGGATTTGGGGGGTGGGGTGGGGATATTGGAAGTTGCTCTGAGAAAACAGCCGCCCCTGATGAGGCCAGCCCAGCCGCAGCCTGTTTGTCCAAATGGAGACAGCCGCAGAGTGCTGCCCTCTCGTGGAAAACATGCGCAGCGCTGCTCAGCTGGTCAACACATTGTTCAAACCCCAGGAAAGTAAAAGTGAATGCTGTAAACTGATATTAGGTCACATGAATCTACTCCATAATTAAAGCATACACGTGTTATCTGTCTGTAAAGCAACAAGTGAGTATATAAGCTAATGTGCTAATGTATTTTGCCAAAACATATAATAATTGAGAAAACTGTCAGTAAAGTACCTGGTAAAATCAGACTAAAATATGCCCCAAATCTGGATCAATGGACCTATACATTTAATCTATAGCCTATATTTATTAACGTGAGCATCCAAATAGGCCTATGACTCATCACTTCCATACACTTATAACTTATTTGCCATTTCCAAAAATAAAATCTAAAAAGAAAGAAAACTCTTAAACCTTACTGAAATTGTGTATTTCTTAATTGTACTTTTCCAGGGTTTGTTGTGTACAACATAGAACACTGTTTCGTTAGACACTGTTATCCTCTCATCTATCAATCTAAAAACTAAAGCTTTGAGTAGATATTTTGCGTCTCTTGTTGTAAGCATTCTGGTGTTTTCACTGCTGTGTTTACCAGGCAGCATGTGCTTGATAAACGACAACCACTATCCTCCTATAAGCGCCTGTGAGGGAGTTGCATAATTTGAGGGTGAAGAAAAGGACAGCAGAAGTTTTAGCAGCTCTGTCCTGAACAGAGACATCACTCCCACGAAGAGCCAGGGCTGCTCATCTAAGAACATTCACAACCACAATACAGATGTTTAGTTCTGTAAGATAATAACTATGCTGTGAAGTTATAGACTGATTCTCAGCTAGGTCCACCACATATAGTCTAAACAAAATCAACAATCATCTAATACAATGCCTAGTTTAAGTTATTTTTATTCAACATAGGAAAATGGCTGACCGAAAAATCACATGTAAAGCCTGTAATAACAATCATCTGTCAGCAGATGGCATTGTCATAACATTTTTCCGATATAATAATACATATCCATTAGTGCTTTGTTATTCTGAAATAGGTCTGGGGACTTGAACCTGACATCCCTACTGCTGGCTTAGTTGGAAGTTATAAGACCTTGCACAAAGCCCTTATTCATGTTGGTGTAAATTGTTTGCGTTAACAGTTTGTAACGTGAGTGGTTTATGGCCAGTATTATCTTTTGATGACAGTGCTCCTTGGTGTAATTTTCACATGCCCCAGACATTATTATTATGTCTAGAATCATTCCCTTTTTGCAACTTAGATTGACTTTTAAATTTAAATTATGCAATACACTGTAGTTACAGTGTAAATCTGGAGTGGCAGATATTGTACAAAGTGTCACAGCTTTACACAAGCATGTAATATTGCACAGATGTGGGGGCCCTCTGGCTATAGCTCCATGCTCTGCACATTCCACCACTGACCAGGCCTGTAAACTTATGCAGGTTCGGGACAACACAAAATCTTTTCTTTGGCAACTACTGCAAAGTTTTCCAAAGGAAGCGACAGGCTGGACCCTGGCAGGAATGTGGCGTGGCCTTCTTTTTGGCTTTTCACTTTGCCGTGTGCTTAACTGCCCAGTTAACAGGAGTAATTGGTCTTGGAGATTTTAGGAGGCATGACTCAGAGTGTAACATGAGCAGAAGACACAAAGATTTGCTGCTCTCCCCTCACTGTCTGTTGTGGCTCCCCGCTAAGACACAAGAGAAAGTTTTCCCACTAAAAACAAGCCACATCTGGTTTGCATGCTGCTGCCAACTATCTAACCTGGAGTGGAAACCGTCAATAAAAGATGAAGTAAAATCACTTTTAAACACATAAATGGGATCTCAACTTCCAAATGCAATTTGACTTTTATCACTAAATGTTCAACAAACACCAACTTTACCCCACTAAACAAGATGTTGTCACGGGAGTTTATGGAGACTGGGAGGGACTGATGGAGGTGGAGAGTGAGGGGTGAAAACAGCTGAGTGAGAACAGGCAAAGAGTCTGCAAATTAAAGTCAAGACGTACGTTTGTGTAAGAAGACTTGTAATGGGATTTTAACGTAGGATCTTTTGTTAAAGTAAACTAATAATGTGGATTAATTCTCACGTCCTGCTGCTTTTGGTGCTTCTGCTTCTGTCTGTTGTAAGTAATAATGGTTCAGTTTGGTGCAAGGTAATGTTAGTTTAAACTAGGCTTTGTCCATGTTACCTATACATAAAAGAAAATCCTTCATTATGTCCCCTTAGATTTTGTTGTTGGCTTATGTATTAAACAACAACACAGACTCTTAATATTTTAGTGACTTGATAAATAGATGCATCAATAAAATAATTGAATAGATCATCAAAAGAGTTGGAGCTAATTTTATATACAAAATTGTCTTGATTGTATATCATTTGACAATACCATGTACACATTTTGCCAGGGTTCAGAAAAAAGTAGCTACTTCAACCATTCAGAAACACTGAATGATGAAGCTCCTGTCAAACCTTCCAAATCTACTGTTGGGACCAAAGGCTGGGACACATGCTCCATTCCATGTGACATCACTGTTAAACTATTACGAGATGAAAAACACTCAATATGTGGTAAGAGACATTTAAAATATACTTACAACAAAGTGTAGACATTATTATTACTCACCATAGACATGTACAGGGCAGCTGCAACAGTCACTTCTGTCTTTTGGACGAAGCACAAGGAAACTAATGAGAGATGTGATGGAGGAGCAGCAGCGAGCTCTGGACATCCTCAGCACTCAGGTAATGTCCAAGTATGTCCAAATATTTGTGAAGAACTTGATTTGTTTCATAAATGCAGTGATGTCCTCTTTTCAGGTGACAGAGCTCATGATCAAAGTGCAGATGCTTAGCTTGGAGGTACAGAGGAGCAACACAGAGATGTATGCCATCAAACCAGTGCAGTCACACGGTAACCACCTGCTGAACACATAAATAAAGATTGGAAAATGGGGAATAATTTGCAATGGATTCCTTTTTTTACACAACAGAAAAAACTCATAGATAGCAGAGATCTGACATTGTTTTTTTTTTTTTTGCACTGATCCTAAAAATTGTTAATAATCCCTACAAGCAGCACAGTTGACATTACAGAATATAATACAGCAGAAATAGATTTAACATGTAAAGTTAGCCAAAAGTCTACTTTGGTCACTCATACACCAGTACAACTTACACTTGCCTATCTTTGAACATTTCCTCCCTGGTTAACAATTCACTTTATCTAGTGAAAACATCACATGTGTATTTCTAAAATGCAGGGCGTGACTGTAGCGACATAAAGGATAACCTAATGACAGTGGTCCCAAAAATCCCAAGTGGAATTTACATTATCAGTCCAGAAAACACTGAGTCCTCCTTTGAGGTAGGTGTTGTCTCACTTGCCTTTTTATAATCACTCAATGACTATTTTTTTTAACATAATTACATTTTTGTTTAGGTTTTCTGTGAGATGGATTACATGGGTGGTGGTTGGACAGTGATGCAGAGACGAACAGATGGACTAACTGATTTTAAGCGATCATGGGCAGATTACACTGATGGTTTTGGAAACCTTGCAGGTAAATTACCTATTCATAGGTTTCACAATGACAAGTGAGGACCATTGCCATGATGATTATTAACATTTTTAAACTAATACTATATCTTTTAAATGGGTACATATAAGATGAAACTCATGACTTTCCATCATTGTTGATATACGTTTGTTATAGGAGAGCATTGGTTGGGTCTAAAGAAAGTGTTTCATATTGTGAGCCAAAAGGACACTCGTTTCCAGCTCCATGTCGCTCTCGTCTCTAAAGATGATGTCACATCATACGCCTCATACGATGACTTTCATTTAGACAATGAAACGCTGTTCTATGGGATACATCTGGGACGCTATGCAGGCAGTGCAGGTATGGCTTAAAATAATCATAGACTTCTGTTCTATTCAGCATAGTCATTATTTAAATAATCAGATTCTATGAAATTAGTAATTTTTAAACAAATTTAAATATTTTAATTCCTTTTTTTATATAACTGCTCAACTCATAGTCAAAGGAACTTATTTTCATTGGTTTCCTTGCCTTTTTTTATGGTTGTGGGTGGCTTAAGGTTATCATGAGTGTCAGGAAAGGTACATAAATGAATAATCCTGTTGAAAAGATGGACATGGCCGTACTCATAGAGGCATGCTAACTCACTCTCAAATGATTTTTTTCAGTTTAGATTAGATTAGTAAATTGATAGTAAAACATTATTAACATGAGTATTGCTGTTTTACTGTATTGCAGGAGATGCATTTCGTGGCTATGATCAAGACCAGAATCAGGACACAGCCCCCTTCAGTGCCTCAGATGTAGACAATGATGGCTGTAACCCATCCTGTTCCCTCAATAACCGCACAGTGGAGAGCTGCAGTGTACTGCACAACCAGACAGGATGGTGGTTTAACCAGTGCGGCCTTGCCAATCTGAACGGCTCCCCAGAGGAAACAGAGTCCAGTCAGAGGACCAGCATCCTGTGGGACACATGGAGACAAAACGGGGTCCCTTATCACATTAAAGCAGTCACTATGAAGATTCGGAGGATCCCAACCAATAATTGACCCAGTGTCATACAGGGTCACATTCTGTATAGGACTGATGATGAATCTGAACTAATTTAGATTGTTGTGTCAGCCACTAGTGTGATTACCAAGGTCTATTATGAGAACTGGAAACTCTATCAAATATGTTTGATCTATCATCTATAATTTTGAATGGTAAAATAAACATTATTTCACTTTTAAGAAATGTTGAATGTAGCCAAAAGAATTATTCTCAAATCAGCTTTTTTTCATATTTTTTATCTTTATAAAAGTATTAACATATAAGAAAGTGCAACATAAATTTTCTTAAATAAGATCAAATCAATACATCTTTATAACACTGAGCCAGGCAAGGTGGCTGCAGTTCCTATGATACAAATACTGAAAACATGCATCATTTGATAAAAGAAGTGAATATAGCCTGGCTAATTGACTAATTGTTTCAGTGAAAAGTAAGTGTTGTAGGCAGTGCTATAGTAGTAGCCTATACTTTGTATACATGACTACACAAAATATAGTACACAAATATAGTCTTATTGAGGAATATGTAGGTGTACTTACCCTAGGCTGGTGCCAAATTCTCTGCTTTGATTTATGTAGGCTCAATATGCAGATATTTCATGGAGGCTACCACTGCTAGTCACTCTCAGTCAGCTTGTGCAAAAAACATAAAGCCTACCAAAATATTATCAGCTAAAATTAGACCTCAGAGAAATGTTTGTCATATGTCCTTTATTTTAATTGTTGAAAAGCCTGAAATATGTGCTCAACAGGATCAATCATGGCCACAAGGTGGTGCTATTTCATATTTCTTGTTCATATTGGCTGAGATCTAATCATAGACTGACGTAGAGCCAGTATTCCTAATCATGGATCTTTTGATCCTATTAAATATCATGTCCATTGGCCTAATGTATCAGATCTATTTAGTAGTGAGTTCATCTAAACCATGATTGACGTAAAGAAAAAGTAGATTTCAAATGTCACCAATATACAAAATACAGGACTTTAAGGTACTAGTCCTCTCCTGATAACCCTGACTGTGTCTACGCTCCATTTGACTTGCGTTTACATCCGCAGTTGGGAACACAAAGCTGTGATGACGCAGAGTTTCTTCCTCTCATCCTTCTCATAAAGCAAGATGCTGTTGCATCATGACAGTGAAAACTCTTGAACAGTTTGGTCCTTACAAGGCAGTTCTGAGGAGACTTAGACCATATTTGCTGCATCAGACTTATGAGTAAATCTAAACACAGGTAAAGGGTAAGTCTACATTACCGTAAGTCTGTTACGCCATAATGTAATCAAGCAATTGTTTCTTCGACAATCAAGAACCTTACACAATGTAATCTACACTAATACACTATATGAGTGTTTTTGTTTTTTGTTTTGTTTATCTCTTAGCAAGGTATCAAGGTGTAGCAATTGTATTTTGCTAAGGTAGAATTTATGCTGAAATGGTTCCAGAAAAAAAAAAATAAATCCAAGTGTCCTCTAGTTTTAATGTCAGCTTATTTATTTACATCCACTTAGTCAACCATATCTTATTTATCTGACGTTTCCCACTGTTTGAAACAACAAGCCTGGGTCCCTGTAATTACGCTTTGATTAGCTCCAGTGACTTGTGTCTTGATATGCACTGACTGTATGTGTTTATATGTGCAGAAGGAATGTTGTTTTCCCACAGTGGACTAGCATCAGTTCGGAGCACGAGCACACAGGAAGTAAAGTCTACTGGGAATTTGGACTCTGAGGAATCTCATCTGCTGTTCATCAGACATCACTGGTACGACTTTGGCCAGTACAACGCACACAGCACAATCTCTGTAAACAAAGCCGCTTAAAATAGCACTTTACAAGACAGCCTCTAAAATAATAATATGATTTGGGGGTTTCACTTTTTTTTTTTTTTTTTACAGTTCAACAAATCCCACTGTTCTGTTCAATGTATAGGTCCCACTGCTTTATGATTAAAACAGTTTATCCCCTTTTCATTCAGATAAATAGACAGATGTTTATACTGTATTGATTAGTCAGGGAAGAGGAAACCAGCTTTGCCAGCATTGTAGTACTGTATATAATTAATTTATAATTAATTGCAATAAACATCTTTGTTAATTTAGCAATGAAGCCTTGTTTCTCTATTACACATTTGATTTGACTAATGAACTGAATATACATTTTAATATTTCCCAAACACACTGTAAAACTATACTGATTTCTTTTCTACTTCTGATACTACTATTCCACCCTGGGCAAAAACTATAGACTTGCTCAGTGCATTGTATACACTGCATGATAACAATCGCCTGCCCTCCTCAACATTTAAGTAAAGTATGTAAATAAAAGTATAGTTGGAAGAAGGATGCATTCTTTCTCAAGGACAGTGGGAGGAGGCAGGCAGGGAGGAGAGAGAGTTTCATTTGTTTCATGACTGAGACGGGACGTGAGTTTGTGTCACTTAAAGAATGAACCACAGGACACTGGCAGCTCACCACTACAGTCGACCGGTGGGCTACACCGATGCACGTAGGGCCCGCAGCCGTGACAACCTGCTCGACGACTATGGAGATGAAAACTGCTACTTTGGACGCTACCTGGGGTCAGTCTATAAACTTATATCTTTTTGAGTTATAGCCAAGTGTAGAGAAACAATGTTTGAAGCTATAACTAGATTGAAATAAGCACCCTGCTTTTATCTATTCTATGTATTCTAAGTAATAAGGCTTATATTTTGTACACAGCTTAAGTAGTTACTAATAGACAAATATATTTGGCCAGTTCAATGCACACCCACTATAACTGTCACTGCTTCACCAATTCTTTCCGGTATCCAATAAAACCAGAGCCAGTATACAGTTAATGCATCAAATTTCAATTCTGTTATTTTGTCTTTAGGCACTTCACTCACTTTGCCTTGTATGAATGTGGTGTGTGTGCATGTGTTTGGGGGAGCCAATGGTACAGAATGGCACCCTCGCTTTTGTCCGTCTACCCCGGGGCAGCTGTGGCAACATAGCTTTTTATGACCTTTTTTCTTTATGCCGGGGAGTATAGACACCTATCTAGAGGTCAGAACAAGAGTTAAGGAGGAGAAAATGAAAAACAACAGCAACAACAACAAAAAACAGAGAACGAAAAACATAAATAAATTATGCTTTAAAGTTAAATTTTCTTTTCTTGCAGGCCCAGCAGCTCAGAAAGGCAGCTCATGGCTCGTCTCACGGCGGTTAAAAGGCGCCAAGCACTCCGTGGCCCAGCATACATGTTTTCTGTGCCTTCCACCAGTTTGTCTGAGGTGGAGGAGCGGTTTCTTCAGGCGGCAGAATACGGAAACATTCCAGAGGTGCGACGCATGCTGCTCCATGTGCCGAATCTAAATGTCAATGCTGTGGACTACATGGGCCAGAATGCACTGCAGCTGGCTGTGGCCAATGAACATCTGGAGGTGACGGAGCTGCTGCTGGGGAGGGAGGACCTGGCCCGAGTGGGAGATGCGCTTCTTTTAGCCATCAGTAAGACAACTGATGCATTTTTGAAGGGGCAAATATTTTACAATAACGATAATGACTAGTATATAGCACAATTCATGGTTTTCAGCTCCCTGTTATAGGCAACATTTAAAATGTAGTTTTGTTCATCATTGTAAAACCTATAGATTGAGGTCTAGGTCTAGATAAATAACAGCTCATATTTTAGAATCTGTAATGGCCTCAGCCTCATAAGATCGATATCTTCACTTTCGTAACATGCTAGTCTCTTCTCACTCTTTAACCCAATTTCAAACTGTCCACTGTCAACTGTCCAAAAAAGTTTATCCAGGCTTGGCACTGGCATATACAGTACAGTGTAACCTGTAATGACTGAATTATTTAGTGACTGACCAATAAATTGTAATTATATGACAGATATTGCCTTGTGTTTTGGTGTTCTATAGGTAAGGGCTATGTGCGCATCACTGAGGCCCTGTTGGCTCACCCCTCATTTCAAGATGCCCATCGCCTGACCGCGAGTCCCGCTCAAGCTGACATGCTGGATGACTTTTATGCTTATGATGAAGATGGAACGAGGTAAGAGGAGCTCTGAGTGGCCTCCTAAACCTTTAAGTGATCTGATAATGTCTTCATTTCAGACCAAAGGCTGCAAATACCAGAGACAAGAGGGCCTCAAGAAAGACCCTCAAATTTATGTACAGGCTATATAGTGCTTGTTATAGCTAAAACATAGTATGTATACTTGGACCATGGAAACAAAGAGAAATGCCACATACTGTAATATTTTACCAAGATGATGGTGATAAGATGATTTCTTGATACAGCTAAAGAAGTTCAGAGGTTAGAAGTTGGAAAATGTATACCATTTGCCTTTCCTTATATAGTCATTTCTATTTATGTGAGCCATCATCTAGAGTGCTGTGGCTGGAAAGAGGTCTTTAATTTTGTTCAAAATATGAGAAAACAGCCCAATGGAAAGAACAATTACCACAGAATAAGGTCTTATTGTAATCTGGGCACTTAAAGATGCACTATGTAACTTTTCTGGTTGATGGTTTGCCACCTACTGCAGAGTGGACTGGAATGCTCAACACAACAGTATAGCATTGAACCTGTCTATATGCATAGTAACAAACAGTTACAAATCTGTGGAGAGGCAATTTATCTCAAAGTAATAACTAAATAATAATTAAATAATAGATCAGTTAAATTCCATACTCCATTTTACCATTTTAAACTAATCAATAACATATCCATGGAGACAAACATGTAGCAGACCCCGACCAGAAATTACAAAGTGCACCTTTAACTGTTAAACTGGATCTGTGTTTTCAGATTTCTTCTCATTGAAACACTTTTCAGGTTCTCCCATGATGTGACCCCTGTGATCCTGGCTGCCCATTGTCAGGAGTATGAGATAGTACACACTCTGCTCAGTAAAGGTGCTCGCATTGACCCTCCTCACGACTATTTCTGTGGCTGTGACTCCTGCAACTACCAGCAGCAGTTTGACTCCTTTAGCCACTCACGGTCTCGTATCAATGCCTATAGAGGG